ATATGAAAGATTTTATAAAATCACTTATATATATTCGAATCATGAGAAAGACGTGATATCTTTTTTATATATGATGAATTATGATATATATATATATAGATCACGTGAGAAATAAGAAACAAAAAAATAAAATTAAAGCTAATTTTTAGAACGAACCCCCTATTCTACTTCATCGATTATTATTTTTATTTTAGATTATCGAAACTATTTATAATTATTAATCTAATCGATAAGATTCGCTTCCAAGTAGAGATACCCTCCTATCCTTAATAGATCAATTTTCTCCCAAAGATACAATAAAATTAGCATATTACACGAAAAAACCAGATTTTCTATTAAGAATATTACCCCAAATCATTTACTCCAAAGCCTTCCAAATAATAAACCAGAAAAATTATCGAAATATATCGAATAGAAAATAAGATCTAGCCTTTCTAAAATTACTAACCTAATAAAATATATAGCTCGTCGGAGTGATTTATAAATATATAATAAATTTAAATAAATAGTCAGAACACTTAACAAAAAAAATATATCATATACAAATTTATTTGAAAATAAATTTATCATACGCAAGTTTATCAAAAAAAAAGATTATACGTAAATTTATAGAAAAATAAAAACGCTAGACCAGAGCATTTCTATATCGATTATAAATAAATCACGCAGAATATTTATAATAAATCTGCCTATGCGACTTATTATAAATACTAGATTTGATTAATAAATAATAGGAAACTCTTTATACTCCCCTAATATTATTGTACCATTTATCCATAACTCACTCGTGGCACTTATTAAATGCCATATTCATTTAGGCCACTTAATATAAAAAAACCTCGTCACTTCTTATATATCTTAAGCGAAAGATAATTAAATACCAGACAAACTAGACTTAGTAAGTAGTATTATTATACTTGTTAAGTTGACATGCTTATAACAAGTCCTTTAGCCCACATAACATACGTCCTCCAAGTCTTGTAAACACTTATAACCGGCAGCGACGATCCAAGAATTATAAGCAAGCTGTTGGATCCACTCAACTAGTCCATGAATGATATCCAAACAACGAGCCGCACAACGTTGACCGCATCGCGGCGTCCAAGTTTGAGTCGAAGATAAACTCGATGCGTCTACTGCAAGATAGCACTATCGATTCAAGAAGCATAATCCAGCATCAAACTATAAAGCCCCGAACCAGGAGCTTCGACTTTAGTGGGATCTTGAAATTCAAACTGTGCGCAACCCGAGGGAGTCAAATACAAACATGCGAAGCACCGAAAGCATGTAGGAAGCAGGTCGTCGGTAGGCAGACAGATAATATTAGTGCCGTGAAATTTAGAACAGGGTTCGGGGTAGCAGAGTCCAGCCAGCATGTGAGCATGCAACAGCGCAACATGATTTTTGCGAAGTGTCTGCCGCAGTGTCGGACATTAGCCACCTATGTTTGCTTTGTTCTCCGCACCTACTAATACCAATACCAATACCAATACTAATACTAATACCAATACCAATGCTAACGCTAATACGAATACGACTACTCATACGAATACTATTACTAACAATCGTAACAACTAAAGTACTCATGTGACCGTGGCTATCCATAGCAGAAGCGCGTGTCGAGTCTAGTGTGAAATCCCTGTAGCAGGTCCTCCAGAGCAAGATGACGGCTCTGTGCCATAGCCGAGGACATCGGAATACCATATACACTGGTCATCACCTAAAAAAAATTGACCCACACCAGGAGAGTCCCCAATTGACTTACCGATTTACCTCAGCCGCCTCAACCATTGATGACTCTGTTGACACTAAACCGACTAAATTGTAGACCGACGAGGCCCGGAGATTGCCAAAAAAGGCCGCAACGATCTCGGAGGCTTAATCTGTCTAGCTAGGAGGAGATTCCCGTTCGCAATGTTTGGTTCAGGCTTTGATGCGTTGAGTTTCGGGCGTCGGGCCCATGGTATGTTACAAGTTACCAAGAAAGTCTACTTAGGCTTGATAGGGTCTGGCGTGGTGAACCAATTGAAGGCCGGAGTAATCAATCGGGTATATTTCCAACTATGAGAGAAGACGAATCAACAAGAGGTCTGCATTTTGGATGTATAAGTACACATGCATGCGCATGTAGCATACACGACATATACATGTTCGTACACCTTCGTACAAAAATACACCGATAATTCGTTAGGCGGCAGTCATACACATAAACATAATCTGCTGAAGGAGTATGTCCGCCTTGTAGCTAGATATGTAGAAAGCAAGGCGCTCTATGATACTTACTACATCAGGCTTGTAGCTCAGGGTTCAGTCCGAGTCTAAATTGCAGGTTGACAGACAGAACAATATCAGCGGCCATTCGTGCTAATATCTCAGGCGTAGACTTTCAGTCCTCCGGAACGTGGCGTGCCTCCAGGATTCGATTGCGTGTCGCCAGAACAAAGCAGCTGCTGCCTGTTTGCCAAATGGGCAGCGTGCAGTAACCTCTTGCAGCATTTGATATGCAAGCGGGCGGAGCACAGCACACTTTGTGGCAATTGCCTCCTGCAGTGCAAACACTGCAACACTAACTCCACCCACGGGAACAGCTGCAATAATGCGGGGCGCTTTGCGACTTGGCCCCTTCTGAGCCTACGATGGATGTGCGCGCCGCGGAAAGCCAAAAGAAGGGCGATTACTTGCTAGGCTCCAACGTCAGACCACCGGCTGCAGCGACAAACCGAATCGATCTTGAAACTGAGGCTTTGGATGCTTGCATCGGAATTTCATAGTCTTCGAGGTTAAAGGGCCATAAACACATGAGGGTTCAGGGATCGACCAGTCATGCTGCATCGAAATCGCAAAGGCACTTATTACTTATTACATAGCAGGATGCTGGGATCATCTACACTGAGACACTGAGTCTATACTACTGAAAGATTCCTGTACTCACATGTACTCACACGACCCAAACTACTGCCCCTCTAAAGGCATCGACATCTGTGCAATGCAGGGCTGTTCGACTCAGGCCGTCAAGTTCAGCCTCCGCAGCGGAACCAGCAGGGTGCAACTGGAAAGGGAGTTCTCCCGGAAGGGTACTATGGGGTTCAATTCGGTTCCCTTTCAGGGTACTATGGGTGTCTATAGGGGATCCCCCAGAAGGTTGAGAAGTGGTGTGCCGAAGCGGCAGCATACACAGTTGTCATTTAGCTTGTCGGCCGGTTCGTCTGTAAATGCCAGTATCGTCCCCAGGCATGTCAGTGTAGTAAACACCTGTCAGACCTATCAGTCGTACCACAGAAGACAGGTAGTTGTTGATGGACACAGTCAGCTCGCCATCTTCATCATCACCACAGCCAACGACACCAGTAACAACACCATCGTGGTCATCCACATCCTCATCGTGAACACCACTGTCTGCGGCTTCGCTGCACTTCCATGAATCATCTTCATGCTGCTCCTCTCCAATAACCATGCTCCTCCTGAGCATCGTAACCGTCATCATCCACCATACTCACCATTATCTAGCTCGCACTCAGCCTCATCGTCCTACTCCTCCCTCATGATCAGTTTCCTCTATATTGCTGCACTTTGATGTTCTGAGTCCCGGCAGCCGATAACGAGGCCGAGTGGTCCCGATTCACAAAAGCAACATACCGACACCAAACCCTAAACCCTGGAAAAGGTTCGCCTTGACAGCAGAAGGCCTCGGTCTTCATAGCTCTCGGGAGCTGCCGCTTGCAGACGAGCCTGACGTTTCTGTCGGCAGATGCTGCCAAACCGACAGAAGCCCTGCTTCACCAGCAACTCTGAAGCAAAATCCGCTTCAGTTTGCTTGCTCAGCTGTCATCACCATCTCGACCATGCTGTTCTTTAGTCGTCTTCCAGTTACGCCGCCTGTCTTGCAAATGCTTCTTAAATAGTTCAGTGCCTTGCAAATGCTCCACACTCTGTCACTTCTAATCGGGCCTCGGAACATGAACCACTGTGCTTGGACGTTGCAGGTCAACGTGGCTAGCTGCATGATCGCACCCTGAAATTTGCAAAGTCCTAAACCTGGCAACCGTTGTGTCACACAGTATACCTATATCAGCATCCGAACTGCGGAACCCCAATCTGCAGTCAAAGTGTCAGCCAGTTCTTCTCGTGTTCCCTCCAGCTCCTTGAATACAGATCACGGGAAGGATCTGCCACATCGGGGCCATCAGTCGGTAAGAGCAAAAGCTCAAAACACTTAAAACCTCTTTCAAGAAATTCTCTAGCGCACAAGACACCGTTAACACTGTGCAAACACGCGAACTCTGGAAATCAAGGACGCAAGCCCAGTGTTCCTGAAAATGTTCGTGCTTGCGGTAGAGATCTGGAAGCTCACACACTACGGGGACGCTGCAGGAATTTCAGTTGTTGAACAAGCTTACTGTCTTCTGTACTCGTAGGAAAGTCTTTTCTCAACCATTCCCTGGGTGGGAGAAAGAACCTTTTCAAAAGGAAATCTGCACGCAACAACCACGAGCGCACCGATCCGGGTAGGGTAGAAAATGTAGATAGTAGAAACATATCCGAACCGCGAGCTCCAGTCCAACAAAGATAGTTACGACCAAACATGAGCACTAAAAGCTCCAAACTCTTGCAAACACCCATATCGGGCTTGTGGGCTGATGCGATAAGGCTATAGCTGCCTTACTTCGAACCATATCCGATTCTTAGGTCATCTTACAGTTAGGTCACGCGAGCTAAGGGCTCAGGGATCCCCGAATCGAAACCAGTCTAAAATCCTAGCCTCCCAACCCTGCGCCGGGCTTGGAGTTTAGGTTTACGCGTCGAAGCCCCAGATCCTAAAACATCCCAATACCCACATGCCAAAACGCAACCTAAAAGTCCAGCCATTCTCACGCCAAGCACCTACACCAGCGATCCCCAAAATCTTAAAAAACTACAACGAAAACCCTAAACCCTAATCGAAAAGCCCTGGACCCTGAACCCTGAAGGAAAATCTGGCTACCTCCCCCATCCGTGCTTGCCTCGTGCCATTGCGGCTCCTAGCTGGGCTCAAGCTTGTGTCTCCGAGCTACTGCAGCTCGGAGAAACGAAGACTCGGGATGTTTCAGTTTTGCTTTCGGGCTACTTGTAGGATGATTAGCCCGGGACTTCGCGACCCAAACATGCAAGTGCGTCGTCCCAGAGTGCCAATAGCATCAGCCACCTTTCTGCCTTTCGCTGGAAACCCGGCGGCCCTGAAAGATCCTATGGGTTTCTTCAGGCTCACATCAACAAGACTCTCTCAGCCGTGCGAATGGCCTCAACAAGGCAATGACTGCCTCGTATGATCTCCGGCACATGCCATAGTTCAACACCCATAAGCCTTCAAACCAAAGGGTCCCAAGGCCTCAATACCTGTTGAACCAGCAACATTTTCGGGGAGAGGGGCTCAGCGAGCAGCAATGCGCAACTGCTGAGGCCCTGAGGCAGCTGCGAGCGATCGTAATCGCGGCCCAGAGCTCGACCTCCGCCATGTCGTCTTGTGCCTGAAGTCGGCCAACACCACAGAAGACTCGCACTGTTTCGTAAAAATGCCACATAACGAGGATGCCCTGGGTCTTTTTTCAACATCCCATTTGTGGTTCCTGGTTGTTCCGATTATGGCTTTTGCTGCGATCATATTTTACAGCTGTTACAAGCTGGAGCGGCATTGTCATCGCCAGGATGTTCGAGGTGGGTAACAGTCGCCCTGCTGTTCCTTTTACAAGTCGGAGAAAAAGAATCGATGGACGAACACATGGTGCGTATCAGGCCTAGGTGAGAGGCAATTCTTACAAGAATCACTCAGTGCTACTACTGCGCGTTATTCACGTGATGTTTCTTGTCCTGCTCCCTATGGCGACAGCGCTGCATCGGATCCTGGTGATACAATATCTTACAATGATCATGGACTTACATCGTGCTCACTGTCAGCTAGCCACTATGTAAGATAAACAATGCCGCTATGTCGTCACACCGGGTCTGAACACACATACATCTGCCATCACCAGTAATGAGCACATTCGTCAGCTTTTCTCGTTCACATGCATATATACCCTTCCTGTTATGTTTATTGTTCTGCCTTGCAGCTAGCCCGATAATCTTTTCAAGTCACATAGCGGACATAGCGACGGACGAGGGCTTCACGTCAAGACTCAGACGAGTAGCAGTCTACGAACAGGATGCTGACCCTGCCCATGAGCACGCGTTGCAATGACGCCGAGTGTGCCCCCGGATCTCGCTGTTGCAGAGCCTGAATGATCTTCTCACGGAGATGATGTCTCTGCAATCTCGTGACGTGTTGCCATGCTTGTCCACTCTTCATCACCGGAAGGAGCAGCACGTGGGAACTCTCACATGGCAGGTGTATGACTTTTCCCTCCTTCCTTTCATTGTGTCACATGTGCCTCCCTTGTATCGATGTAAGCAGCACCTTGGCTTTTGCGCGGAAAAGGATATCTCATTGAAGGCCAGAACATGCGATTGCGGCTTTGACAATCGCCACTCACCACCACCGTTGCCATTGCCACCACTAAAACGGCGACGACGACGACGGCGACGTCACTGAAGAAAGCGACGGCGACCCCTCCTCGCGCCCTCCTCGCTCATCCTTGAACTCCTTGAGCCTATCACTGCCTCCGCAAGCTCGTCGCTTCTCTTGGCCGAACGCGAGCAACGTCTCATCACCGAGACCCTCTTTCGTGACCCAAGGCATGGATTGAAGCCCGCTTGCCATGACAACATGCTCCCGTCTCTGTGTGTGCCGGCAACACAATCGAAGCAAGCATAAACCAATGCACTTGATATGCATCCAAACCCTTGCAAAAACAGGTTGAAGCACAAACTGCAGACAACCTCAACCTGAGCCTTTGCACAGCGAGATGCAAGAAAAGTCGAAGATGATCACTGCATTGCCAGCTTTAAGTTGAACTTAGGACTGGAAGGCTGCTGACATTCTGCTGATGATCGTCCCAACGCATCGCCTTTGCTGCAATACGTGCGACAATGCTCATCACGCACGATGGAAGCTTTTGGTCAGAAACTGGCGAGGGTTCGGAGATCATCGGAGATCAGGGTTTGGAGCCTTAGGGTTCTCGCCCCTTCGGCCCTTGAACCCCAAAAGGCAAAACACTAAACACCACACCCCGAGGATACCCCTGATCTTCGCGACTTCGCGACATAGAATAGAGGTATGTACACATTATGCTGAGTGGTGAACTGGAGTGATTCCGATTGCGCTGGAGTCATCATGTTAATGTAAGCTGGCAAGGCTAATGCCTTTCGTCATGTAGTGAGTGCTTTCGTCGCCCTGAACCTCGCCTGACGCTGTCGAGCCCGAGTGCAAAAAACACATCCCACTTCTATACCTTTTCTATGCCCTGCTTACTGCTTCCTGGTATTCTCGCTTCAATTCGGACCCAAATACCCTGACCGAAGACCTCCAAGACCCCATCTGCCCCAGCGCGTCTTGATACCATGGATCTCCTCATGCCAGGTGGGAGCCTCCTTCGCGGAGCTTCGACGAGGTTGGGCCGCCGGCCCAAAGCCAGGCGGGGGTGGCCTTAGAGCAAGCACCCGCGGAAAAAATGTATAGGACCGGCTAAACCCACATGACACTTGACTCTCGTGTAACTACCAAATAAGTTCAGAGCAAAGTAGTTCTGATACGCGTGCTTGCGTGTGTAGGTGTGTGCTATTTTGGTGATGGTGCATGTACGTGCGCGAGGTCGAACGTGCACGGGCGTGTGCGTTGCGTGTGTTGCGCGTTGTCTGAACTAGCTCTCACTCTAGCTAGCTCGAGCTAGCCAGCTCCAGCTCGATAGATCGATAGCTGCAGCGATTGGTGGCGCGGGGCCTCTTTCGGAGGCGCCCCAGAGGACTGCGTTTAGTAGTGCGTTTAGTCGCGTCGGAGAGGGGGACCTTATCGCGAGCGCCGCATCCACCAGAGCCCTCTAAAGACTGCGTTTTAGTGGCGCGGGGCCTCTTCCGGAGGTGCCCGAAAGAACTGGAACCTTATCGCACGCGCCGCATCCAACAGAGCCCTCTGGAGACTGCATTTTAGTGGCGCGGGGCCTCTTCCGGAGGCGCCCGACAGTGCATGTGGGCGAAGTGTGTGACTGAGAGCTTGTCTAAGTGTGTATAAGTGCGCAAGTGAGGCAAGTGAGTGTGTAAACTAGACTCCTAGACAGTCATGGATGGAGGATGGCGGATGGCAGGAGGGACGGGAGGGCGGGCGGAAGGACAGGCGCAAGGACAGGCGGAAGGCGGAGGGCAGCGTAAAAGTTACAATTTAAGCCAAAACCCCACACAGTGATGTGGTGAAAAAACTCTCCCACAGGCACTGCTCTGAGCACCCTCGCATCAGGTTGTAGTCCAAAGCTCTGGCGAACTCTTGCATTCATGATGTTGGTACTTAACTATAGTATGTACCGAGTGGCATAGCGTAATCCAGCTCGTCATCGGAGCTCAGCCTCGTTTGCTGCCCGAAAGTCAACAGCATGTTCGAAAGAGATCAAACTTGCGGGCAGTCATCATGAAGGTCGAATTCCACAAGGGGATTTCTTCTGGACCATGACAGTCCCTTCTGTTCTTTCTATATTTGGAGGTTGCATATACTTTGAGAAAAGGACTGTAAGAGGACATCTTACGACTTGGGGCCTGGAGAGCGGGCCCCTGTTTTCCTGCAGCTTTATGTTGCGATCTTCTTCTGAGACGCAGGCAGGGAATCCTAAGCGAAAGCCCTTGAGTCCGACTACGGCTCTCAGATCTTCGGGTTGATAGATCATAGCATGTGATGGGTGCTGTCAGATTCAACAGGTCAACAATTAGACCTGAGTCACCAGCTGCTGATTCAGTGGATTGTAGGGCGGCACGGAGACATTTCCCTCCATGGGCATTGCTGGCTTGCCTGCCTCGGCCAAGGTACAAAGGACTCTTCCGGGTGAAGACAAGAATGCTACAGCCAGTTCCTATGTTGCAAATAAACTGTCTAAACCTACAGGCAATTTAAAGGTTATCAAGCTTCGGAATATGTAAAGCCGTAAGCACTAAGCACTCCTTAAAACAATGAAGGTCCCAGTGGCGCTGCATCCAAAGGCTGGTACTGGTCGCGTCGCCTCACCTGGAAGTGTGTTGATGGTGACCCTTTTTTAGGTGTTGGGTTTCAGGACCGGGGCTCTGCCTCACATGGGACATCATGAAGGCAGCAGCAGCAGCAGCAGCAGCGACAACGGCATCAGTGACAGCAGCGTCAGCAGCAGCACCGGCAGCAGCAGCACCGGCAGCAGCAGCACAGGCCCAGCACCAACACCAGCATCGACAGCACCACCAACAACACGTACAACAGCACCACCACCACCAACACCACCAACAACAACACCACCACCAACAACAACACCACCACCAACAACACCACCAACGCCACCAACGCCACGCGCTGCCACCACCGCCACTACCACCACCACCACCAACAACAACAACAACAACAGCAGCAGCAGCAGCAACAGCAACAGCAGCAACATCAGCAACAACCTCGAAGGGGCCGGAGGAGAGCTTTTGGTGCAGAGTTCTTCTGCTTGGGGCTTCGTGTTGGGCTGTTGGGATTTCGACGATGGTGTAGATGTGATACTGAACGGCAGCTGTGTAGAAGCCTTGCCACTAGCCAAAGAACCTTTACCTGCAAACTCATGATTGCGAGCAGATTTCCCCACCTATTACGTCCAGCATCCAGACCGTCAAATCCGGATCTTCAGCTATTAGAGCGCAGGGCTTCAGGGTTTAGGTTTGGGGTTTAAGGTGGTTCAGGGTTCAGGTTGAGTCAAGAGCTCGAAGTGCGACAAAACCACCTGTGCAGCTCTTCGCTGCTGTCAGGTCATTGCCAACAGGATCACCAAAGAGTACTGTCGGGAACCGTCCGACACCGCAACGATGTTTATCCTAAGATCTCTAATCCCTTCACCCGCATGGCTAAGGTACAAAGCCAAACTCCCTGAACAATAAGTCCTGAACTCGATCAAATTGACAGACCCCAACCCTCAACAAACCCCGTGCATCCAACGTCATACCACACCTTTGCCCATCGGGGCTGCGACCTCGGAGAGGGCAGCACAATAGGGACACCAATATGTTCTCCTGGGGCTGCTGCTGCTGCTCCTCCTACTCCACCTCCTCCTACTGCTGCTACTAGCACCACCGGTCACCACCACCATCACCACTACCACTACCACTACCACCATCACTATAAACTCCTACTGCTGCTTCTACTTCCTCACTACTACCACCACCACCACCACCACCACCAGGACGACGACGACGACTACTACTACTACCACCACTACCACTACCACTACTACGACTACTACGACTACTACGACTACTACGACTACTACTACTACTACTACTACTACTACTACTACTACTACTACTGCTACTGCTACTGCTACTGCTACTGCTACTGCTACTGCTACTGCTACTGCTACTGCTACTGCTACTGCTACTGCTACTGCTGGCCCTGTGAGTGCTTCCAGCGCAGTCTCCGGGGCCCGGTGCATAGCCGGGCGCCGGGGCGGACTGGGCCGGAGCTGGCCACCCCTGGGCTTGAAAGCAATAAAAGGGTTTGGGGTTTAGGGTTTAGCGGTTGTAAGGCTAAGGATTTAAGAGCGGGACAAAGTTTAGGGGAAAAGACTTCCGGGTTCTGGGGATGTTGCCGGTGGTACAGGGGGTTGCGGCAAGGTTTGAAGGCTGCATGACTAAGATTCTGACATAGCTCGTTGATACAGTAACATACATGTGCACATGCGCAACTGTAGAATGCTAGCTCAGCCCACAGGGAGAGTGAGGTAGAGAAATCGGCATACTTGTGACATGTATACATAGCAGCACAAGACACAGTGTCCAAATCACAGAAGTCGAAGCCGATGTACACATCACTTGCTCCCCCACATGTAGACTATCTTCCTGCGCGATTTAGGACTCCGGATGTCTGGGTTACATCGCTTCTGACTTGGAGGCTTTATGAGGCTTTGCAGGGAGGACATAGGCTTCTGAGTCCGCTCTCCGATGTGACCCGAGCTGAACTAGCACCAGGTGCCGGACAAGGTCGCTTTGGCCTGCGGAGGGATAATATAGGGGGCTTAATAACTAGAATAAGGTTTTGGGGTCGATGATAATTACTACATTTATTTAGGCCCCTATAGTGTGGAACTTCGGATCTGCGGGTGAATTTAGGTTTCTGAGTCGTTTAGCGGGTTTGGGGTGTCTAGGTAAGGTTGCGATGAACTTTTCTGGGTGGCTTTCACTTGAATGCGCGGGAAGTCATCGATGGCATACACACGCACACTTCAACACGGAATCAAATCTGCAGAGAAAGAGAAAGAGACGTTGAGATTCGTAATTGTTCGGCACTGTGAAGACATCAACAAACATGCATGCATAGACGAGGCGGGTACACAGACCCATCCAGATGGAAATGACGTCATAAACACAAACACACGCGTAGATAGATAGATAGATAGACAGACAGATACATAGGTGGGCATATAGATAGATGGATATATGGATACATGGATGGATTATGGATGGATGGATAGATGGTAGATGACAGATGACAGACAGTCAGTTGGTGGTTAGCCATAATAACCAACTAGTTCGACAGGTACAGATACAGCCTATCTGACCTAACTCCAAAGCCGTAGAATCAAGCCCTATCAAGCCTGACAAATGCAGTTCGGACCATTAGCCCTCCGAAATCAAGACCCTGTTTAATCGCAGTTTGATGAATCCAGCATTAGCTCCTGAACCCGGCTGCAACTTGGGGCTTGGGGTATATTGTAGGGCGAGATGTGCTTGTGGAGTCTACGAGTTAGCAAGCCCTAAAGAACCTGACACACCCGTATGCGGCCCTATAGACACCGCGATGAAGCTGACAGAAAGATGCACTTCCAAAACACGCAAGGAAGCCTGTATAAACGCTCCCGATCCCGGCCTGCGCCAGGCGACAGCAGTCGAGGCCTCAGCGGAACACTGGCGTCAACTTAGGAGGTAATACTAGATCCGTATTTGGCTTCCTGCTCGATGCGGGGTGTCGGGTCTTCTCTTGAGGTTCAGTAGTGCAATGCTAGTGAAAGCAGATGATAATAAGCAGAGTATTGTAGTATACCATCATGGCATAATAATCAAAGTGAAAAATAATAGCATAGCACAGCTTGGTATAGTATCTTGACTGTATATTGTAATGCATGGTGTTGCACGGCATAGTACAGTTTGGTACCGTAACAAAGCCTTGTGGTCGATCCGGCTACAGTACAGTCCGAGCGATACAAGGACATAGAGAAAAACGGCCTCCAAATGTAACATATGCTGCCATCAGTGCAGATATACAAAAGATTCCAAAAGCCACCCTGGGCCCTTAACCACAGTGTTCAGACTGAGAAGCCCGCCCTACACCCTCAACTATACTGAATTTGTGGAAGTTCTAAACCCTGAGCACCAAACTTCGAATCTGAAGCCCTTTGCAACTAAGCATGAGGCCAGTCCAGACATCTGGCTTGCTCAATGTAGGTCAGCTTGGGGAAATGCGATCGCAGGTCGGCATTGCCCTGATCCGCCGGACTCTTCTACTAGGGCACAAGGGATTGGGGCACTAGACCGCGCCATAGGTAATCAGCGGAATAAAGGCTGAGGTTCTTCAGGGGATAGGGGCACAAACGGACTGTTCATGGAAACAAAGTTGAGATTGACCTGCGCGGTCATTCAACCAAACCGAGACGCTTCGCAGTGTGAGGGCTATAGTTGCGCAGCAGAGTGCACAAGCTAGGTATAGATGGAGAAGCATCACATCGAACATATCGATTTTACACCAAGCAAGTGCGCGCCTCTACCTGCAGTCCAACAAAAGCAGAGTGCATCTATGCATACACCCACTTACCAGTCCTTTATTGTATATACGAGACTCGCGGCGCAAGCCAGCTCGCGAAAATGCAGGCAGGTACACACGATACATGTAAAATCAATGAGTCTGTTATAAGTACATAAATACAAAAGTGTAAAAACGTTTTAATAGATACAAAAGTGTAAAAACGTTTTAAAACAATTGAATGAATATCTTATGAAATAGTGTGTGTATATATATGTATATAAGTGTACGTCTCTACGCGTGTGTGTGTGTCAGCACGTGTGCTACTGTACCATGAATCCCTGTCTACCTTTCTCTGTCACTCTGATATACGGAAACAAGCACATATGCATAAACATACACACGCATACACACATACCTATACATGTACATGAACATGTGTTTTGTTTTACGTGCAGGCCTACTGGTATATCTGTCGATCTATGTTGTATCTGTGATGTCTGTCTATCTTTGCCTCAACTACCGATCCATCCGTCGATTCATCTGCTGATCCATGTTCTACCTCTGTATCGATCTGTCTACCTATCTGTTTGTCTATCTGCCTATCTACCGATCTGTCTATCTATCGGTCGATCTATCCGCCTGCCTATGTATCTATGTATCTGTCCATAAGAGCTTATCTTTGTCCCTTAAGTTTTAGAAAAATAAACGCGGGATGTAGTTACACATCAACCCATACACACAAGAACAAATACACACATAAATGCATACATACATACGTACATGAATGCATATATACATACAAACAGACACATAAACATAAACATACACATCTACCTATACATGAGCATGAACATAAAGATGCACATCTACATACATATATGCATATACCTGCACACATGCATATGTATAACCATTTACATATACCAATGCATACACATACATACATAAGGAATACATACATGCATACATACATGCATGCATACATACATACATACGTACATGCATACTTACATTGTTTTACATACGTACATATGTGCACACATACACACATGCGTACACACATATTTTGTATATATATATATGTATATATGAGAAGATTATGCGTATGCAGGTAAACGTAAAACTTAAACTCCGTTTCAAGACTTCCCAGCCTCTGCGTGAATACGGCCCACATCAGGCCCGAGCCTGATCCCCAGGATTTGTCCGCTGAAGTGAAGGCTTCTGCTCGGAAATCAATTCTTTTTTTTTAGCACCTTTCTCCGCCCATTTAGGGTGTAGGGTTTAGGGGCTTCGTATATCGCAAAGATTGGATCTTGACAATTGGGCAAGTAACCCCGCTGAAATGAACCTATATAAACAAGACCGTGGCTGGTACATGTTTGTCGGCTTTCTTCTGGCACAATGCTGTCTCTATTATCAAGCATGTAAGACCATAAAGAGATTGCAATCATCTTCTTCGGCTCTTAGGCTTCATACCCTAAACGGGAGTTTCGGAAAACAGGGGACCCTAATACAGACCCTATATAGCAGGATCCTTATTATAAGGTAGGCGGACGCAAGGTCATAGGCGACGAAGGTGGGACAGAAAGAACAGACGTGTGCTGTTTCAATCACTGGAAATACAAGGACCCCAAAATGCCCCAAAATCGGCCACCCCTAATTTTCGGAAACCCCCAACCCTGAACCCTAAACCCATTCAGTCTCCGGCCCGCTGCACTCCGCAATGTCGCCATAGCAACTTTCGATCCGATCCAACCTTCGGCTTGCGGATCTCGGGGTGCTCTGGCGGTTTAGGGTTTAGTTTTCGGGTCTAAGGTTTAGCTTTGGGTTTATAGGGTTTAGTTCAGGGTTTAGGGTTCAGTTTAGGATTTAGGGTTTTGGGTTTACCACATGTCACACTGCCAGCTCTGTCACTTCTAAAACCCAGGCAGAAAACCCGAAACCTTCAAAATGCTGAACCATTCAAAACAAAACAAAAAGCAAACCCTGCAAGTTTCATGCTAACGCCTCACCTCCTCGTCCTCTTCGAGAATGGAAGAGACCTCTTCGAGACTGGAAGGGAGGCGAGCGAGCGGGCTGCAGCCCTCATATACTGGAGACTGCCACAAATACACACCGTCGGGGCGTACCATACCTCAGTGCAGGCAAGCCCTGAATACCAGACCACAAAACCCACAATGATCAGGGCCTCCGAAAGGCTGGTACCAGGGTTCTGTACAGTTGTTTCGGGGATTGCTAAACGGCTTGAAGGGTCCAAAGCATCCAACGCACTTAAGCGTGGGATTCATGTCGGATGGTATTCGGCGGGAATCTCACGTTGTTGTGCCCTTGCGCCCGGACGGCTACAACACATTTGGGGAAGTCACACAGCGGGCCCTAGGACAGACTGCTTAGACTAATAGACCCTAACTAAATAGTCAGGGCATCCATGAAACGGACCCATCAGGGGTCCGGGTTTGGATATGTGTTATATGGGCTCTAATCGGGAAAGTGTCAAGTTTAGATCCACAGAGCTGTCTGTGTGCGAAACTCATACGCATCTGCACACTTTACTTAACAAGCCTTGCAAAAAGATGTCAGTCAGACCCGATGTGCAAACGAGCATCCCCCGGCCCAATCGGGATAGAATGTCGGGCGATGGAGTTGTCGTTAGCAGCAGCAGTAGCAGTGGTGGTAGCGGTACCTCTAAAGACCCATGAACTTAGGAGCAGCATGCGGAACAAGATGCAATCAAGGTGCACGATCTTAAGTGCTGGCGGTCACTCGCCATATACAACGCTAGAACCTTTATTAATGAGCAGGTTAAGGCAATTATCAAACCCGTATGGAACCGCTACTGAGAACCGCTTTAGAGCCCCTGGGCTTTACGCCCTGGCCTTTGCAGAACCCGAACCCCAGCCCAAACCCTAAACCCTAGGTGCTACACCCAGAGGGTCCAAGTTCGCAGATAGTGGGGCTTTAGGTCAAAATGCCACCAAAAGCCAAGCGTGCGCTCAAGGATCTACTTCTCCAGATTCGAGGGCTCAAGGTTCGTGGGGCTCTGAGGCTCTAGGATTTCTGGTATGTGGTTCGGAGCTTCGGGCTCAAAACAGAGGCCTTGTTTTTTAGTAAGGCTTCGGGTTTTCCATAATAATACAACCTACAGGCCATACAGACAGTCAGCCCCAAACCCTTGCTCCTCACAAGTAAAGCACGTCACCTTTAACCTTAGCCGAAACTCTGAACACGAAGCGCTAACTAAGCCCAAGAAGGTGTAAGTATCGAGAAACCTACCAACCCTGGGCTTACGTAAGCCCATACAGGTCCAACTTTCGCAAACCCTACAAGCCGCAAATTCCAAACCCTGAACCCTTATAAAGCCCTTATGGTGAGCCCTCGCGCTAAGCCCTGAACTCTAAACTCTACAGAAGGACCCATATCGAAATCCAGCGAAAACCCTCATCTCAGGGTAAGCCCCAGCCGAAACCCTTGAAAGGAACCCTGAGCCCTAGCCTTGACGGACCCCTTATGGAACCCTTAGCTCTACACCTGAATCCTGGCCCTACACCCTAAACCCTAACCCCCTTAAAGGAACCCTAAACCCCAAACCGCTCTAAATCCTAAACCCAAATTATGGGAGCCTTAAAAACCGCCTTGAAGGGCCCCCTAAATCCGAAACCCTTCAAGCGAACCCTCATCTCTCGCGCCTTCAACATGCGCATGGCCTCACGGCTTTAAGGCTTTAGGGTTTCGGGCTTCAGGATTTTGGGTTTAGGGCTTGAGGGTCTGGGGCTTCAGGGTTTTAGGGTTTAAGGGCGCAGGTTACGGTCAGGGCGGTTAGGGTTTAGGGATGAGGGTTCAGTGGCTTGCGTTTATGGGGGTATTGAGTGCCAGGTTTAGGTGTTCAGGATTAGGCGTTTGGGGTCTGAGGCGACATTCCTCATGTTCGGTCGTGTTTTTTTACGTTGTGGCTTAGCTTGGGTTTTTGGAACTTCATAGACAGGGCGACGCGCAGGGTTGCAAGTATATCTCCGTCAAGATTAACTACGCATTTCCTAGCTGTACAAGGTGCTGGTCTCAGCCAAATGGTTGAACTAAAAGAATTCCTGGATATCGTTAAGACTCCTTTGCCGTGCTAGTCTAAACAACAGAACTGACGGGATTGATCATGACAATACCAATTGTATGACATGGGAACCGTTTCGTTAAAGAGTCAAACTTGCCACTTGATGGATCTGCCGGTGCTCGACGATGCGTTCCTCAAGCTTTACTTGTACATACAATTTCCAAACTTTACCCAGCCCAGGCATTCTGACGAACCTCTGGGACTTCAAAGATCTTCTCGACGTACTGCACTTGTGGGACCTGGCATCATCACGTAATCTCGATCGCTGGACAGTTCTATCATTGACCGTGCCACCAACGTACATCAGAGAAAATCTGCGAATAGTAGGCAACGCCAGGAGAAAGACAATCATATCATGAACTTGATGAAGAATTCAGGCAAGAACCACCTTTTGAGTGTGCACTTCCACGTCGTAGCGGACCTGGTGATTGTAGCATCTCTCAATATCTCTCATGCCTGCAACGCCGCGCTCCGCGGATTCCCAGCCTCTGGAACTTCTACCACTCGCTCGAAAGCTGGCACGTGAATGCAGGAAGATTCCTTTGGAGGAAGGGACCCCTCTAATTCGGACTAGCATTGTTCGCCCTGACTGGGGGGCCTGGTTCTCTAGCTTGGGCATCTCTGTAATGATTTTCAGGTGGACGGCATCCACGAGCCGCGCAACCTCCGCAGGTAGTGTGCTAAGGCAGAGGCTTCGACGTCTGGAGTCTGGGGTTGCAAGGCTCGTAGGGGACGCTGCACGAACATAGCCTTCTCGGCTTGCCCGCAGCTGCAGTTTGGAATCAAAGGCTAGATCCGACGTGCGTAACCTCTTTGCTACAGCAGGTTGCAGGCAAGCCCGGTGTCTTTGCGGTAAGGTACGGATTTGATCGAATTTCGGGATTCGATGTTGCGCCTCGGCATCTCCGAGGTAAGTTGCGCAAGCCATCCTGCGATTGCTAACGAAAAAACCATCTCTTCCAAGTGGAACTGTCGAGCTCTGGTGAAGAAGTTAGAAGGCCACCCTGCAAATGCTTTCCGAAGCGCCTGCCTGGAATCTCTGCTGCAAGCCTGCTGTCACCTTGCTGCATCGCTCTGTTTAGCTTGGGCTTGCGATATCACGTCTCAGTCATCGATGACCGATCGTCCTTCCAACCCGACTGAAGCTTCGAGACTCTTCGACCTTCAGCTGAGGACGAAGGCACCACGAGCTTCATCATCCCTCAACCCGTAAAGACAAGTAGGTCGGAAATCCCTGGTCCTGCGTACTCTCGAAGCCGAACCACAGCAGGACGAGCCGGCATACCTGCGGATCGTGAGTTCCTTCGGGCTTATGGTTTGGGACTGGGCTTTGCATTTCAGGGTCTGGGTCGTGCTCAATCAAGGCTTGCTCTTACTCTCACTCTCCCTTCCCCCTCTCTCCACCTTCCTCTCCCCCTTCTACCTCTGATTGCACGCAGAGAGACAGACAGACAGAGAGAGAGAGAGAGAGAGAGAGAGAAGGGAGGGAGGGAGGGAGGATGGTTATACGTCTGCGCGTCTGTTGGGCAAATGTGTCCTGAAAGTCACTGCAGCCCAGCTGCTCCTCTTCCAAGATCTCAATAGCAGACTGCAGGTCTTGCACCTGCTCGTCAAGAGCGCTGATGGCAGTCTGGCTCAGGAAGCAGTTGTCGTCGCGCTTCGTGGCTTCCCATTGCAACCTCGAAATGAGCGTCACTCGCATGTGACGGGCCCAGGATGGGCAGCGTAGATACAACATTTCCTGAACTTGACAAAGTCTCCGTTACTAGCCGAGGCGCTTCTTTTCGAGTTTCTGGATTTGCTTCTGCGCATGCTCCAGTCTGTGCTCCACTTGCTCCCTGTCCACATCACTGCACCTTACTGAATTGGTCAACTCGACGCATAGCAGTTTTGGACCTGGTGAAAGATTTCCGCAAAGGACTCTGCAACCAGCAGACTCAGGCTCGAGGAGCTTTCCCACAAGATTCGAGATTAGATTCTGGTCCGCATCGCTCTGCAAGCAGCGGTGAAACAACCTGCGTAATCCATCAAGCGGAAATCGCGAAACCCTCCCTCCCTCGCTCGCTTGCTGATCTTCAGGCCCTGGCTGCTCTTGCAGACCGAGGATCAGGTTCTGCTGCCTAATATGCTGAAGTCGGTCTGGGGTGAGGGCTACGGGTGAGTTTCAGGTTGACTCCGTGCCCGGACTGGCATGCTTGCAACTCGATCTGCAACATCTGCTCACGTAACGATTGAAAGTAGTTTCAACGTCTCGGTTCCCGGCAGACTCAGCTGATGATTGTCTGCACCAGCTGGTCGTGGAGAGCATTCAGCCTGGAACGATTTCCAAAGAGTAGTTGCGACCATGACAGTCCACACGAATACTGCAGCAACGCTGCAACCTTTTCCTGGACTTTGGCAACTAGCAACCTCCCCAAGGCTTGAACACGATTGCATCTACCAGCCAACATCCTTCTTGCTAAAAGCGGCTGGTTCCAGAGCAGGGCGATTTGGACATCCTGCTGCCGGTACCACACGGGGCCCTGCCAGGACGGGGATTTTGGGTCGGCAGCAGCCCGTGCACCAAAAGAAAGCCCGCGCCTCGCTGGACCCCTCTGGTCTATGCAACATGGCTCGGTTACACCAACAGAGCTCGCAATGTCTTATGAGTCTTATGCCTGCCTTCTAGGGTCCACTGCACTCTACCGCGGCTGAAAGAACGTCTGCTGACGAAGCATGCGATCTCTCAGATGATGCGCAAGGCTGAGCCATGTGCGATTGCAAAAGCATATTTTTTAACCAGCCGATGCTGTTACCGCAATCTTCGGACCTTTGCTCTGTCTTGACACTGGGTGTTTTGCATGATGACGACGGTGGTGATGCTGATGCTGATGCCAATGATCATGGTGATAGCGCTGACGGCGATGGCCATTGCGGTGATGGTGATGCTGATGATGATGACACTGGTGATGATGATGCTGATGATGATGGTGTTGATGCTGATGATGATGATGACGATGGTGGTGATGATCAAGCCCCACGGCCCAAGCTGTTGTGAGCGCCCGTGGAAAGGGGTTGTGTTTCTTTCTTTGGGCTCTTGTTGGGGTTTCTTCGCGGTGGCTCTTCGGCGAAACTTGTTCATGAGCCATGACAGCTCCAGTGACGACTGGGAAGATCAGGCAGACCCCGAGGACTACATGCCTTGGGATCACCGGGATGGCAGCCCTCCTAGGCCTCTACATGTTGACGAGCCTCTACGAGGACCTCCGCCTCCCGTGCCAATGGGCTACTCAGCAGGATCCTCTGCATTTCACGGGCGCTCTGCAGATACCCCCGCCAGTCTGGAAAGCCATAGCACTGGACCCTCCTGGGAACATGATCACCGTGATGGACCACAGCCGGTGGTCACTGTCGGTGAAGGCAGCAACCGCCGAGTTGCCAGGGCTGCGGGCCCGCTTCTTCCGGATGGCAGTTTTGAGCGAATGGAACGCTCAAGCAGCAGCACCTCCGACGACAACTCCTCAGACGACACTGCCGACGAAGACGCTGCCAATCCCGACCCTCGGGGCGAGAATGACAGGCTGGCTGATGATGCCAGTGAGACGTGGTCCGAGACCTCGCTCATTCTGGAAGGACCCGTTCTTGCACAGACCAAGGAATACTTGTATACTCAATATCGCCTTGAAGTCAAAGCTCGCGCCACAACATACGGGCATGCTCTCACTACCCGCTCTTTGGCGGCTCAAGTGGGCGCCGTCCGGCGCCGTTTGGCACCAGCAGCGTGGCAGACAGTACAAGACTGGGCTCGGCACAGGCTTACCGGCCGTCGTGCCACATCTTGGCAAGCCTATGAACACCGGCAGACTCATGAGCGTCGGCCCCGGCGCCGCAGCCGCAGCCGTGATCATGACTGATCTGCGCCTGCCGACGGCAACTCCGCATAGGCCCCGCTGGTTCTGCAGTCGACACTTCTTGAGACCCAACCTGCCTGATCTGTTAGTCTTCCCTAAGCCTCACCCCTACATAAGAAAGCCCATAACCTGCATGAAGCCAAGTCGCGCAACCCATAGGCGTGCTGCGGCGGCTACGCCTGCTGCCGACACGCTGGAGCAGACTGATGCAGGCACCCGCCCATTAAGTAAACATACCCTAAGCTGTACACAGCCTCAACATCAGACTGGCCGAGCCGGTCCCAAATCCGGCACCTACCTCATAGCACTGTTCTACTTTAGATCCCTAGGTCTGGTAGGAGGGGCGAGGGTTTCTCCTGACTCCGCGTCAGGGGAGGGACCCATCGTGACCACGATGGGGAAGCATCGCGGACCAGCACTTCCCGCGGCGCCAGTGCAATCTCAGCTGCCACCCGTCCCGAAATTAGCACAATCAGTCAAACGAGCATACAGACGTGCACGCCTGCGAGCCCATGCCTCGCCCAACCAGGGCACTTGGTACCGCGGCAGATGGCACACAACAGAATCCTTAGGACAGTTACCCAAGACCACGCCCGCACATCCTAGGCGCGTCAGGGCCCAGCCCTCCAGCTGGCGCAGGCCAGTCAAGCACTTGTGCTTGATGACATGGAATGCTAGCGGCCTCTCTTCGGCCATGTTCCAGGAATTAGTGGCATGGTGTGAGCTGCAGGCTGAACTAGATGCAGTAGTAGTTCAGGAAACACATTGGCATGACACATCCGACTTTCATTCTGGTCCCTGGCTAGCCATGCATACATCCGGAAGAAACTCTCCCGATGGCTTTGGCAGGTGCTCTGGCATCCTTTTTCTGCTGCGCAAGCAGACGCTCCAGGACCCGCGCATCCTTGAGCTATGCCCTGGTCGTCTAGCAGTAGTGCAGGCCACGTCCAGAATCACAGGGTTGCCGGTTAGCATAATTGGGGTGTATCAGCATGTTTGGCGAAGTGGCTTATCAACCACGCGTAATCTTGAACTCCGTAGGGGTATCTGGACCCAGCTTGATAAAGCACTTAGAGACACACCCGTCAGGCATCACCTACTGCTGTGTGGGGACTTCAATTCATCTGTCTCCTCGGAACCACCTGTTACTGGACCATCAGTCCCAGGCCCCTCAAGCAGTCATGACCAGGATTTTCAGGCATTGCTACAGCAGCATTCCTTATGTGTGCTCAACACATGGCACTCACGTCCCAGTAGTACGTACTACTCGCCCACAGGGGCTACGCAGATCGACTTTGTCATTACTCGGCAGGCTGCAGCTGCCTTCCAAGCCAAGCAGGCTTACCCGGACCATCGCGACCGATCGGGCTATCCAGCCCGGCCAGCAAAGCACTGGCAGGTAGCATCCGTCATCACTTGCTTAGACATCTTGAGCCCAAACTTAAGTTGCTCCCCCAATATGCCTATGCCAGTGGCAGGGGCACAGCCGATGCACTCATCAAAGCCCATGCCCATCTTGAGGCAGTGGGGGCTCTGATCCGCGACACCCGCTGCACCCGATTCCAGCAACAGGCCAGGAGCAAACCGCGTTCCTGCGTCGGTGGCATAGCCTTATCTCTTGATTTGTCTAAAGCCTTTGATGGTGTACCCAGGGATCACATATACCAATCCATGGCGGACTGTGGCGTCCCACCCGAGGTGATAACCCTAGTCCAACAGCTTCACCATGAAGCCCAGTACATCTATCATTCGGGGGACCATCGGGGCGCCACTACAACATCTAACGGCATCAAACAAGGATGTGTTATCGCCCCCTACTTGTGGAACTACTTCTCCCTACTTTTTCTTGCCCGACTCAGTGACCACCGTAACCACGACTGGATTCGACAGGTCTTAGCCCTCTTTGCTGACGATGTCTGGGGCGCTTGGGAAATTAGGGTTCAGGCTGATTTGGTTCAGGCCATCCGAGATATCTCGCTTGTACTTGAAATCTTGGAGTCCCTTTCCATGACCATCAACTACAGTAAGACCGCCATACTGCTGAAGCTGGTTGGCAAGGACGCCAGCCAACTCAAGCGGGAGCACACCTTCCTTGACAGTCCATGGCAGGGAATGTGGTATTCCGATCAAAGACCAACACGAGTATCTTGGCACTGTCGTCACATATCACCATCGACATCAGCGCAACATGCACCACAGGATCAAGGCCTGCACTGCCCGCCACCAGGGCCTTAGGAAGCTTCTCAACGGCTCTCATCATTTGTCTGAGCAAAACCGCATCCGACTTTGGAAAGCTTGTGTGTGTACTAGCGCAATGTATGCGCAACACGTTGTTGGCATGTCAGCAGCCTCCCTTCGACGCTTGACCGCCACTCTCACCAAGCATCTTCGTGCTATCATGCGCATACCTGCGCACCTCACGCACATCAGCACCAAAGAAGTTTGGCAGCGAGCCGGCCTCCCCATGCCAGGCTGGACCATTCAGCAGGCGCAACAGCAGGTTCTGGCCAAACTCGAGCATCGAGCCCAGCAGGACCCGGACATTACCACTACTTCACTGGCCCTGCAACACATACGTTCCCAGGCTGCGACACTCGAGGCAATTCTCCTGGAGGTGGCTGAGAGCCTTGCTAGCACGCCGCAGACTTCGGCACACGTTAGCTGTCCCTACTGTCAGGAAACCTTCGTATCCGCAACGATGGCAGCACCCCCGGCAGCCTCACCCTCGACCACCACCATATGGGCCTCCCGTCGGGCAGCCGCCTCGACAGCCCCCTCAGGATCCTCTTCGACTCCTCACACGTGTGGTCTTGCAACAGGAAGAAGTCATCAGCCGCCTGCGCCACGAAAAGGCCTTCATGCTCTTCATGAAGCAGACGGAGGAGGGGACTTTGGGCTCATTGATGAAGGTGGCGAAGGAGTGGAATCGTCAAAAGTCTCTCGAGACAACAGCTATCCGCTCTCCACTGCGAACAGTGCTGATGTCCAGCATGGTCAAGGAGCTCCTCAACCTGGCGCAGCAAGCTGTGGCGACGGAGGAGAACAAGGCACGCATGATCAAGGCCGAGTGGCTCACAGCCTCATCGGAGTGGACCTACCGGAGATGGTGCCACACAGATCGCCGCCTCAAGATCGACGACCAGAGGGCGCCTCTCCAGCACGCCGAGGCTGTCCGCATCTTGAGCTTCCTTTTGGAGAATCTGAGCGGCGATGCAATCCAGCGCTTCGGCTCCACGGTTCAACTCCCGAAGCTCGAGCAGCAGGGCGCCCAGATGGCCACCTTTGCCTTGGAGATCTCTCTCAGGGGCAAGACGGCACAGGAGCTCTACGATTACTTCAGCCGCCTGTGCGGGAACTCGTTGATGAGCCTCATCGGGGTCTCCATGAAAAAGGACACCCTACCACGATCTCAGTTGGCCAAGAACCTGGCCAACCAGTTTTACCAAAGGTAAATCAGGACAGCTCCAGCTCACTTCCGGCCTCAATGGTAGCACATCGGCATCTGTCAGGATCCCTGGAAATCTCTCTGCACACGGGCGGTTCAGCTGCAGCCCCAGCCCTTCCGACAGTAGTTTTTCAGGGTGGATCGAATAGCTGTTATCTGAACTCCTTTCTCAACTGTTTGTGGATTGCGGCTCATCTCACGAGCTCCAGACAACTAGTACCTCAGGTTTTGTGGGAACAATCAGAGCGGCCACTTGTGGCCATGCGTCTGTTGGGGCTTCGCCTTCTGGGCTGGTCCCGCCCTCGGCAGCAGCACGACGTTGCTGAGTTGATAGATTTCCTGCAACCTCGCCTGGTCTCCCCGGCGCCTCCAGGCTGCTGGGAGACAAGGCAGCACGCAGACACAGGCATCAGCCGAACGGCGCCGGTCTCAACTCTTCGGTGTTTGCAGCTTCACCTTAATCCTCATAGCCCTACCCCCGAGATACAAACCCTAATCCAGTGGTGGCACACCCAGCACGCCATGCATGCCTTACATCGTGCACCTCCGTGGCTCTTCCTCCAAATCCCCAGGTTCTTGTATCGATCACGGGGGCGGCCAGCAAAGCATGCACAGGCCTACACTCTTCCGACGCCTGTCAAGCTTCCAGTCTTTCAGGACTCGGGTTCCTTTGAGGTTCAGTGGATTGAGTACAGGGTGAGTGCCTGCATTCAGCATCACGGGAAGGTGCCTTCCCAAGGCCACTACACAGTGGCAGCCCTCCTCGATGGAGCCTGGTGGATGCTTGATGATGAAAAAACGCCGGCTCTGCTCACAAGTGCACAGCTCCGGCATCTGAGTGCAAATGTGTATGTCATGCTTCTTACCAGCAGTCTCGCAGCCTCTGCGCCCTCGAGCCTTCAGCCAGACACAGACAGAGAGCATCATGGATGCTCCCCGACAGCAGCGTGCTCTGAGGGAGGAGGACTTGGACTGGATCTCCAGTCAGCTCTTTCTGATTCGCACACAGCTCTCGGCACTGGCAGAACGTCTCGAAGCTATGCAGCAAGCTCACAACCGAATGCAGGGACACATGCGTGTTTTGGAAGCTCGAGCTCGCAAGGACTCTCGAAAGGATTCTCACAACAAGTATGCCCAGCCTCAACCTCTGATCATCATGCTTGAGTCATTGGACGACTGAGTAGTGCGCTCTACAGGCTGAGATGTTGCAAAGCAACAAATCAAATCTTTGTTTACGTCACTTCGGTGAAATTTGTTTAACTGGCGCCCGTACGAGGCATCAGTGCCTGCCGTAATTATCGACCGACTCTCACGAGAGTTGTATGGTGCTCGCAGGACAGGACTCTCTCTGCCGCGTGTGAAGAAGAAGGTGGTGATGATCATGCTGCTGATGATGATGACGGTGATGACGATGACGATGACGACGACGATGGCGGTGGTGGTGGTGATGACGACGACGGCGGTGGCGGCAACAGGCGGCCAGAGTGATGTTCAGCACGACGGGGAAAAGGTGACACACGCACGCACACACACACACACACATTCAGAAGTGAACATCTCAAACTGCAGGCCTCCATGCGTGACTTGAGCAGCGCAACTCAGCAGGTATTGTCTCCAGCTTCCACGTTGCTTGTTCCAGAACCTCACACCGCCTCTGTTTGGTGCAAAGGTCTACGAGACTTGAAAAAGCTCGGGGAGGACTTCGAAGCGGGAGGACGTGCATCGCACGGTAACATGCATCACAATGGATCCCGTCGTCTGGCTTTGTCCAGTACTCATGTGACCGTGGCTATCCATAGCAGAAGCGCATGTCGAGTCTAGTGTGAGATCCCTGTAGCAGGTCCTCCAGAGCAAGATGACGGCTCCGTGCCATAGCCGAGGACATCGGAATACCATATACACTGGTCATCACCTAAAAAGAATTGACCCACACCAGGAGAGTCCCCAATTGACTTACCGATTTACCTCAGCCGCCTCAACCATTGATGACTCTGTTGACACTAAACCGACTAAATTCCAGACCGTTTTGGCCCGGAGATTGCCAAAAAAGGCCGCAACGATCTCGGAGGCTTAATCTGTCTAGCTAGGAGGAGATTCCCGTTCGCAATGTTTGGTTCAGGCTTTGATACGTTGAGTTTCGGCCGTCGGGCTTTAAGTCTTCGCCATCGGCCATGGTATGTTACAAGTTACCAAGAAAGTCTACTTAGGCTTGATAGGGTCTAGCGTGGTGAACCAATTGAAGGCCGGAGTAATCAATCGGGTATATTTCCAACTATGAGAGAAGACGAATCAACAAGAGGTCTGCATTTTGTATGCATAAGTACACATGCATGCGCATGTAGCATACACGACATATACATGTTCGTACACCTTCGTACAAAAATACACCGATAATTCGTTAGGCGGCAGTCATACACATAAACATAATCTGCTGAAGGAGTATGTCCGCCTTGTAGCTAGATATGTAGAAAGCAAGGCGCTCTATGATACTTACTACATCAGGCTTGTAGCTCAGGGTTCAGTCCGAGTCTAAATTGCAGGTTGACAGACAGAACAATATCAGCGGCCATTCGTGCTAATATCTCAGGCGTATACTTTCAGTCCTCCGGAACACCAACTGGTGAATGTCGAAATCCAGCTCGCACATAGTAGCGCATAATTTGGCAGGGTTGCGTGCCTCCAGGATTCGATTGCGTGTCGCCAGAACAAAGCAGCTGCTGCCTGTTTGCCAAATGGGCAGCGTGCAGTAACCTCTTGCAGCATTTGATATGCAAGCGGGCGGAGCACAGCACGCTTTGTGGCAATTGCCTCCTGCAGTGCAAACACTGCAACACTAACTCCACCCACGGGAACAGCTGCAATAATGCGGGGCGCTTTGCGACTTGGCCCCTTCTGAGCCTACGATGGATGTGCGCGCCGCGGAAAGCCAAAAGAAGGGCGATTACTTGCTAGGCTCCAACCTCAGACCACCGGCTGCAGCGACAAACCGAATCGATCTTGAAACTGAGGCTTTGGATGCTTGCATTGGAATTTCATAGTCTTCGAGGTTAAAGGGCCATAACCACATGAGGGTTCAGGGTTCGACCAGTCATGCTGCATCGAAATCGCAAAGGCACTTATTACTTATTACATAGCAGGATGCTGGGATCATCTACACTGAGACACTGAGTCTATACTACTGAAAGATTCCTGTACTCACATGTACTCACACGACCCAAACTACTGCCCCTCTAAAGGCATCGACATCTGTGCAATGCAGGGCTGCTCGACTCAGGCCGTCAAGTTCAGCCTCCGCAGCGGAACCAGCAGGGTGCAACTGGAAAGGGAGTTCTCCCGGAAGGGTACTATGGGGTTCAATTCGGTTCCCTTTCAGGGTACTATGGGTGTCTATAGGGGATCCCCCAGAAGGTTGAGAAGTGGTGTGCCGAAGTGGCAGCATACACAGTTGTCATTTAGCTTGTCGGCCGGTTCGTCTGTAAATGCCAGTATCGTCCCTAGGCATGTCAGTGTAGTCAACACCTGTCAGACCTATCAGTCGTACCACAGAAGACAGGTAGTTGTTGATGGACACAGTCAGCTCGCCATCTTCATCATCACCACAGCCAACGACACCAGTAACAACACCATCGTGGTCATCCACATCCTCATCGTGAACACCACTGTCTGCGGCTTCGCTGCACTTCCATGAATCATCTTCATGCTGCTCCTCTCCAATAACCTTGCTCCTCCTGAGCATCGTAACCGTCATCATCCACCATACTCACCATTATCTGTATCTAGCTCGCACTCAGCCTCATCGTCCTACTCCTCCCTCATGATCAGTTTCCTCTATATTGCTGCACTTTGATGTTCTGAGTCCCGGCAGCCGATAACGAGGCCGAGCGGTCCCGATTCACAAAAGCAACATACCGACACCAAACCCTAAACCCTGGAAAAGGTTCGCATTGACAGCAGAAGGCCTCGGTCTTCATGGCTCTCGGGAGCTGCCGCTTGCAGACGAGCCTGACGTTTCTGTCGGCAGATGCTGCCAAACCGACAGAAGCCCTGCTTCACCAGCAACTCTGAAGCAAAACCCACGTCAGTTTGCTTGCTCAGCTGTCATCACCATCTCGACCATGCTGTTCTTTAGTCGTCTTCCAGTTACGCCGCCTGTCTTGCAAATGCTTCTTAAATAGTTCAGTGCCTTGCAAATGCTCCACACTCTGTCACTTCTAATCGGGCCTCGGAACATGAACCACTGTGCTCGGACGTTGCAGGTCAACTTGGCTAGCTGCATGATCGCACCCTGAAATTTGCAAAGTCCTAAACCTGGCAACCGTTGTGTCACACAGTATACCTATATCAGCATCCGAACTGGGTACGACGCACGCACAAGCGCGCGCCCCCGCCCACACCCACACGCCAAGCACCTACACCAGCGATCCCCAAAATCTTAAAAAACTACAACGAAAACCCTAAACCCTAATCGAAAAGCCCTGGACCCTGAACCCTGAAGGAAAATCTGGCTACCTCCCCCATCCGTGCTTGCCTCGTGCCATGGCAGCGCCTAGCTGGGCTCAGGATGTTTAAACGCTCAAGCTTGTGTCTCCGAGCTACTGCAGATCGGAGAAACGAAGACTCGGGATGTTTCAGTTTTGCCTTCGGGCTACTTGTAGGATTGTAGGATGTCGCGACCCCAACGTGAAAGTGCGTCGTCCAAGAGTTCCAATAGCAACAGCCACCTTACTGTCTTTAGCTGGAACCCGGCGGCCCAAAGATCCTATGGGTTTCTTCAGGAGTCTTCAGGCTCACATCCTCAGCCGTGCGAATGGCCTCAACAAGGCAATGACTGCCTCGTATGATCTCCGGCACATGCCATAGTTCAACACCCATAAGCCTTCAAACCAAAGGGTCCCAAGGCCTCAATACCTGTTGAACCAGCAACATTTTCGGGGAGAGGGGCTCAGCGAGGAGCAATGCGCAACTGCTGAGGCCCTAAGGCAGCTGCGCGCTATGGTCATTGCTGCCCAGAGCTGGACCTGCGCTATGTCCGCTATGTTCCAAGTTCAGGAAGTACAGGCCATCCGTGCAAATTGGAGCCCTTGGCGTTCCTTGAATCTTTTCCAGCTGCCTAGATGGTTTGGAGGAAAGCGGAGGAAACGCCTGCAGTGTGTCAGCCATTAGTATCCAGACTCTAAGATTCTCGGCCCGTGAGACTATGAGGTATGTGCAGATGAAAAGGTCTGCGGCTGTCTTTTCCAAATTCGAGATGTGGCACGTTTTTGTCATCTAATTCACTTGAAGACTTTAGCATTGTAGGATGTGAAAGGCTCGCAGCCCCAGACTTTTAGTTCGAGAAGAGGGCTGACAGCGACGTCAGCCAGTCCTGAACAGCCATCAGCTACCACTGCAGGAATTGCGCGCGGTAAGGTGATCAACTAGACAGACAGTGACCTCAAGGATACAAACACCCTGGCTGCGAAGGCACCCGGCTGCGAAGCTGCGGAAATGAGATGATATTGCTGCAAAACCAAGAGCCAAGAAAACACTTCGAAAACAGAAAGGCCACGACTTCGCCAAAGACCTCGCAGTCCAAAATGAAACCCAGGCCGTACAGGGACATGGACTTACTCCCCTCCACTGTGTGGATTGCCATTTGCAGCTCGCATTGCAGCGCCTTTGCTGGGATTTCCATGTGGTCCTGGCTCTTGCTTGGCGTTTAGAACATGTAAACGCTCGGAGCTCTGAAGCAGCTGAGAGAAAAAAACAGAGCAACAATCCGGAAGCCTGCTCCCTCAGACACAGGCTTGAAGCTTGAACTGACTGTGAGGTTGGGTTCAGGGCTTGGGATCGTGTCGAGACAAAGTATTGCTCGACATTCTATCCAAGCACGAACCAGGCGTTCGGGGTTGAGGGTGGCTGATCAGTGTCATCACCGCTGTAGACAGTCGGAAGAATCTCTGGTGCACCGAGAAAGCTCTGCACTTCGAAAGCCTCGGAGACTGGAACCGTGCACCCCTTGGCCCTCAACCCATTACGGCTTTACTTTTTGCGGGGATCTCCTATATCCTCACGACACCTCTCCACACTCGTACTTGGCAAAAGGGATAATGATGCGGGCAGCGATCCCCGAGAGCCCGTCTTGTCTAATAGCTTGAGTAGCGCAAACCAACCGAAATTAAGACCTTGCAACACAGCTCATTTGACACACAAACTGTAAATAGTTATCCTGGATCAGGCTTACTATAACAGCCAGCTATTCCATCCCCATACCGTTATAAAACCTTTGTCAAACCAACAACACAACCCAAAACAACCCTACAACAGCCTGACATAAGCAAACAAAACTCCTGTACAACCAAACAAAACCCTATACAACCCTCATAACAACCATACACACCTTGTAAAGCCCTTATAAAGCCAAAGATAGCATTTAGGCAATCCCCAAACGACCCTTGTAAAACCACCTACAACCTGCAAAAAAGATGAGAAACATCCAAAAGCCGGGTCCTCATACTGGATCTGGGCAACTTTCGATGTGTTCTGAACCATCTGGACAATGGGCACGTGGACCTTTGGGCCGGCCCCGAAAAGATTCCGCTAGGGTCCCCGAAAAGGATTCCTGTCAGGGTCGCTTTAAAGGATTCCTCTAAGGGTCTCTTTAAAGGATCATCGCACTTAGCTAGGATCCGAAAGAAGGCTTCCATAAAGGGTTCTATAAGGGGTCTAGAAGGGATTTAGAAGGGATCTGTGAGGGATTTAGAAGTGTTTAGGGTTTCAAGGATCATGTATCGGAGAAACGGCAATATAGTTGCCTATAACCCTCAATACGGTACTGATAACCTAACTCAGCTGGGCTTTTTGAAAGGGTAGAGGGTTTGGGGTTGAGGGATGATGATTTGGACTTTAGGGTTTAGCGTTTGGGGTTGACGGTTCAGGGTTTAGTGCTAGGGATTGGGGTTGATGGTTTAGGTTTCAGGGTTTAGGGTGGATGGCTTGGGTTTTAGGGTCTAGGATTTAGGTTTTAGTATTGACGGTTTAGTTTCTAGCCTTTAAGTTTCGATGTTTAGGGATTTGGGTTGAGGGTTGTGGGTTTGTGGCTTGGGGCTTCTCGCAGAGTACTGCACTATTGCGACGGCTTACGGCTTACTGCTGTCACTGCTGCTACTGCCACTTCTCACATGCAGCATGACCACAACCACTTCTTCTAATTAGATAGCTCCCACTCCGGCGACGTCGACGATGGAAGTGTACAAATCTCGGGTGAAAAAACAATAAACTAAGAAACTGTCTGTCAGTCTTCCCACCCCACCGGCCTGCGTCCCATCCTGGATGGGAACCTGGACGATCTGGTCCTCGCTGTAACTGTGAGGTGTGAGAAGGTGAGGAAGGGAGAGAGGACAAGCAAGCGAGCGCCAACGAGCAAGGAAGTAAGCGAGAGGAAGAGGGACAAAGATATTGGCAATGCGAGTCTGGAGCTCTACCAGTAGTGAATACCTGCGTCAAGCAAAGCTGCTTCAGCTAGCTGCTCACAGCACCAGGATGTACTTGCAGGCAAGGGCGTGTCATAACTTCCAAGGGTGTCAAAGCCCCCCAAGGCAGCGTGGGTCCTCGTACCGGACCTGGGGCACCTTAACGGTTTTTGGGACCACCACCGGCACGTGCACCTGTCTTGGCTCTTGCCGACAGAGATGATAAGTGATGCACCAGTGGCGCAAGGTAGAATAACTCGCCGAGATATCCCAGGTCTTGAAATTGCGACTTCGAGCTTCCCTTTCGGGATATGGCTTTATCTCTCAAAGCTGATGCTTGGCTGTCATCCCGTCGGCACCGTCATCAGCAGCAGTGACATTCATTCGTTCATAGATGTGTGAGCAGGTTATCTCGTGGCGGGCAGCGGTGGTCTTGTTGGGTGAAAGAGAAACGGAAGTGACGGAAGTGTTTACTGCCAGCCAGCCAGCCAGCCAGCCAGCCAGCCAGCCAGCCAGCCCCCCAGCCCCCTCGCACAGCGGCAGTAGTAGTAGTAGTAGTAGTAGTAGTAGTAGTAGTAGTAGTAGTAGTAGTAGTAAAAGTAGTAGTAGCAGTAGTAGTAGTAGTAGTCGCCGAAAGGTTGGAGCGATAGTCAGATCGGGGCATGATACGGTTGCCATACTTCGTGCTACTCACTCAAGCTGGGAATACAAGGCAAAGGTCAGCAGTCTTCTGGGCTCTGTCGTAAATCCTTCATTGCTAAGAACTGTAGCATGAAATTCAGCTGCACACGCGAATCATGGTAGTTGTCGCCGTCATCATCGTCAGTGCACGGGTACTAGCAAAGTTCAGGTTCAATTAACGAAACCTCAAACCCTACGAGTACTCTGTGCAGATTGCAAGGTTGGCGAGTTTTGGTTGGGGGTCCCTCCACTCTGCCGGAAACAAAGCTTGGAACCTGAAGTTGACCCTGTTCGATCTGGCATCTTGCACTCCAGACCCTTAGCCATACCTATAGCCGAAAAGACCTACCTTTTTAAGGAACCATGTATAGAAACCATAATAAGGAACGCTAAAACGGTTACTCTTCCCGGCTACAGGTACACACTGCATGCTAAGCCCTCCACCCTGCATCCTGCACATCCTACCAAGCACAGTGGCACCTGCTTGTGGATCGGGACCTCAATGTGGTGGTCGGTGTACTCCACCTGTGGGAACGAGGCTTTCTCTGACTCGAGGATTAAGGGCTGAGGGAACAGCAGGAGGAGCAGGAGCAAGAGCAGGAGTAGGAGTAAGAGCAGGGGTAGGGGTAGGAGCAGGAGCAGGAGCAGGAGTTGGAGTAGTGGTCGTCGTCGTGGTGGTGGTGGTGGTGGTGGTAAGAGTAATCGGTGGAGGCATATGCACGAACCCTTGAATTTCATTGCACATGCTTTCTGGGGCTTGGTTCCGTTTCGAAAGGCAGGCCAGTAAGCTGCCTTTCAACTATTTGAAATGATCGCTGCGGAGACCTCATTACTAGCCCGAACACATGTGCTGCAAAGGTTCTACCGAACTTCCGAATCGAAAGCCCCCGATCCCCGGATTTGCGCATGTCTGAAGTGCAAACGGCCTGCACTCCACTGGGCGTGCCGGCAACATCTCTCGGATCTCTCGGCTCGCTCCGCTCCGGATCTCTGAGCCGACGGCCTCCTCCGGATTTCCTCCTGCAGGCGCCTCCTCCGGCAACCTGCTCCATCATCCATTTTCATCTCGTGAGAGCTCGGACTGACTCGAAAGCTCGGAACTTTGGGCATCTTTAGCGTGTAGTTTCACTTCCACCTGCCACCTTGTAATGGTTCGCTGCAGTCTAAACTAGAAGACAATTGGCCCGAAAGCATCATTAGCGAAGAGTTTTGCGCTACGTTATAGAATCCAGTGCATAGAACCATAGAGTCATAGAGTGAAGTGCATCTAATTATGAAGTACATAGTCATGTCGAGATCGATGTGTTTGAAATCACGTCGGCTTGTGGCGGGACAAGGGGTTTTTGGTTCCCGGGGTTCTGGGTTTAGCACTGCGGTTTAGGGCTTCTGGTTTCAAAGGGGTCTGGGTTTAGTGCTTCTGGGTTTCAAAGTTCCTGGGTTCAGGGCTTCTGGGTTTAGGGGTTTTTGGTTCCAGGGGTTCTGGGCTTAGCGCTGCGGTTTAAGGCTTCTGGTTTCAAAGGGTTCTGGGTTTAGTGCTTCTGGGTTTCAAAGTTTCTGGGTGCAGGGCTTCTGGGTTTAGGGGTTTTGGTTCCAGGGGTTCTGGGTTTAGTGCTTCTGGGTTTCAATCTATTACTACTACTACTACTACTACTACTACTACTACTACTACTACTCCTGCTACTACTACTACTACTACTACTACTACTACTACTACTACTACTACTACTACTACTATTACGACCATTACGCTAGCACGGGTGGCAAATTACTACTATTACTCTACTAATACTACTATTACTACAATTACTATTATTATTACGATTACTACTATTACTACCAATACTACTATTACTACTATTACTACTACTACTACTACTACTACTACTACTACTACTACTACTACTACTACTACTACTACTACTAGTACTGCTATTACTACTAGTACTAGTATTACGACTATTACCACTATTACTATTGTTACTACTAATGCTACTATTACTACTAATACTATTATTACTACTATTACTACTACTACACCTTCATGCGCAGCAAAAGTGTTAACTTTACCTCGCGTTCGAACACTCGACCACGCCAATCTCTGTGAAGGGTTGCAAATTTCACCTCAATGCACATCAAAAGTAGTAACTTTACCTCGCGTTCGTGCGTTCGACCACGCCAATCCCTGTGAAGGGTTGCAAACTTCATCTCAATGCACATCAAACGTAGCAACTTTACCTCGCGTTCGTGCCTTCGACCATGCCAATCCCTGTGAAGGGTTGCAAAGTGCCAATCCTTGTGAAGGGTTGCAAATTGCACCTCAATGCACCTAAAAGCGCTTCAAAATAGCAACTTTACCTCGCGTTCGCGCACTCGGTCACACCAATCCCTGTGAAACGTTCCAAGTTCGTGCACTCGACCACGCCAAGGTTGCAAATTGCGCTTCGAAGCGCATTTAAAATGTGTAGCTTTACCTAGCGTTTGGGCGCTCGACCAGGCCAATCCCTGTGAAGGGTTGCGCCGCGCGCCTATTAAGTTAAAAAATGTATAACTTTACCTAGCGTTTGGGCGCTCGACCAGGCCAATCCTTGTGAATGGTTGCTCGTCGACCGCAAAATGTGCAACTTTACCTAGCGTTTGGGCGCTCGACCAAGCCAATCCCTGTGAAGGGTTGCGCCGCGCGCCTATTAAGGTAAAAAATGTATAACTTTACCTAGCGTTTGGGCGCTCGACCAGGCCAATCCCTGCGAAGGGTTGCACGGGGCGCCCAGAATGTGTAACTTTACCTAGCGTTTGGGCGCTCGACCAAGCCAATCCCTGTGAAGGGTTGCACGGGAACCCTAAAATGTGTAACTTTACCTCGTGTTTGGGCGCTCGACCAGGCCAATCCCTGTGAAGGGTTGCACGGGGCGCCTAGAATGTGTAACTTTTCCTAGCGTTTGGGCGCTCGACCAAGCCAATCCCTGTGAAGGGTTGCACGGGGCGCCTAGAATGTGTAACTTTACCTAGCATTTGGGCGCTCGACCAGGCCAATCCCTGTGAAGGGTTGCATTCCCGATCGATGACGACGGTGCCGCCACCCTGGCTTTAGAAGAGAGATTAGATACCGAGATGTAGATACAGAGTCATAGAGTCATAGTGTCATAGAGTCAAGTGAGTAAGTGATAGAGTCATAGAGTCAAGTGTCACAGAGTCAAGTAAGGTATAGAGTCAAGTAAGTAAGTAAGTAAGGAAGTCATACAGAGTCACAGTGTGACAGAGTCAAGTTCATAGAGTCAAGATCATAGAGTCATAGAGTCATAGGGCCAAGTGTCAAGTCATAAAGTCATAGAATCATGGAGTCGTAGTGTCATTGCATGTCGTCTATGTATTCGATTCTATGTCTGTCGTCTATGTACTTCTCTAACCGGCTCCACACGGAAGAACCCTTCGCGATGCTTTCGGGAAAACACAAATATCCGAGTAGCCCTTTGATCAAACACTTTCCTTGACATTTGCAGGGCTTCGTATGTTGATCTAAGGAATATGCCCCAGGTAAGGATACCCGTCCCAGAATCTTTAGAAGGATCTCCGAAAGGCATCCTACTACAGGCTTTTGTCAGGGGCTTCAGCTTTCAGATCTTCAAAAGTCCTGGCTAGTTCCTACATTGCTTCAAAAGCGTAACCATATACGATATCCTGTAACCCTTCGGGTAACCTTATAAACCCTAAGCCTCTACCACCAAGCCCCAAACCCTAAGCTCCTGTACCGTAAATGGGAGACCCGAAAATAGGGGACCCTGATATAGTACCCTATATACATAGTAGGATCCTTACTATAAGGGCCCCAAAATAATGTACCCCTTATTTTCGGAAACCCCAAATCGTAAAAGCCCTTTCGATGCAGCCGAAGCGTCGGCACAACCGCAGGGTGTGGCTCTGGTACTTGCTCTGCAATCTTGGCTGACAAGTACCCTACACCCTAAACCTTAGTAGCTTGTGAGTTTAGGGTTAGGGCTTCAGCGCCGGAGCTATTGATGTGGAGATTGTGGAATTTTGGAACTGCTTTACAGCGGGGTTTATAGAAATGGTAAGCAGGTTTTGATATGGGTTTATAAAGTTGTTGCACAAGGATTAAGGCTTTAGGATTTCTTTTCCAAAATCCGCTGAGCATAGGGGGATCCTTGGTTCGGCTCCTGAGACATGTGTCGCTTCATTACTGCATCTGGGGGTGTCTGAACAAGTTCAGCAAGACGCCGTAAATCCAAAACCCAAATGCCAAACCTTACAGCCCCAAATGTAATCCTTAAGCTCTCTATCCATGATAACGAGTCCTACAACAAACCTCCATGGTGACCAAAAAGGCTCATCGAGCTTCAATGATCCGCTGGCGAGGAATGATATAGGATGTGAAAGGTTTAAGGTTTAGGGAGGAGCCCTTCTTAACTCAGGGTTCAGGGTTTACGGTTCAGGGATTAGGTAGCCATGCCCACGAAGATGCTAGAGTCTGCTAGAGCTTTACTGGTCAGGATTGTTCGGCGGTGTTGTCGGGGTTTTCCCAGATCATATTTTCGACGATTGTTTTTGGGCTTGGGTCTAGGGTGCTGAGCTTGCATACAGATACATGACCATACGTGTACGCTAGTAGGGGCCTTAAAAATTTAATTACCTATACTATTTTAGGGGCTGCTTATTCAAACTATACTCTATTTGCCCCTATATTACCTACCTTAAGCTTTGCCAGCCCTGCCAGCCTGACATAGAGCATTCCTTTTTGGGATTCGGGTCTCTCTAATATTCAACACTTGAACTACCCGTCAGTCTCCCTTCTTATAGCGGCTATAGCGGCCCTGATCGCATAAGCCTTACATAGTCGCTCTTACAGTAACTTTTGTAACAGCCCCTGTGGTAAAACTCTTACAGCAAGCCTCCGCCTACATCAAGACTCTCAACCCAGACTACTCCCCTTAGAACCATCATAACAATGATAGTTTAAATATTCTCTTGGGTTTTATATGAACAAAAAATTATAATAAAAAACAATTTCTAACTGAACTATAGACTAAACTGGAACCCTATAGTCCACAGTAAGGTCTTTGCTCTTCACGTATGCAACCCATAGAAGACAGAGAACCCTACCCCGAAGCTGCTATTCCAAGACCAGCCCGAAGCCCTGAATTCTTGGACCTGTGGAGAATTGGGGATTTAGAGTTTACCTTAACTCCAAGTAACCTACCTTTTTAAGGACTTATATAAAGAAATCATATTAGGGAACCCTAAAAAGGTAGGTCTTTTAGGGTCCAGGTAGGGGTGATAGATTTCGGAATTGCACTCCCAGCCCAAGATCCAACCCAGCCACCATGTTGGTTTCAGCAGCGCCAGCGACTTCAGCGTTGAGATATATGGCAGGATTCACAAGGTTTCGTTGCTTCGAGTAGAAGCAAAGCCTACTCTCTTTTAACCGCATTTCGTGCATACAAAGTTCAACAAAAAATTGGTACAACTAACTCAGGCAAGGCTGGTTTACACGTCACTCATCATTCCAGTCACCTCAGAAGAGCGTAAGCAGCAAAGTTCTCGTTCGGTTCTTCCTGTAAAGCTCGCCATGAAGGATCGGAAACCTTCAATCCTAAACTCTGTTACACCGGTGCTTCTGTAACCCCATGCGGGCATCGGGTGACCCCCCCTGCTCACTAGCAGCCCCTAAGCCTGAAAACGCTCCTATAAATACCTTCGAAAGCCTGGGAAACCCCAAACGCAAGAACATTCGAGCTTACCCATAGGCCCATAGTAGTTCCTTTTGGGGGTTCATATGTCGAACGCTATACAGTAAGGTAACCACCTGGGCGTAGACCCTAAACCCTAAACGTCCGGCCCTAAACCGTGAAGCCCTCAATCCTAAACATTGGACCTGAAACGGAGGTAATCAACAAGACCTGACAGGGCTCCAAAGGTGGCATGAAGGTAGGTGGGGTAATCCCAAATATTATATAAGGGCATCTTAATCCTACCTAGCTTCATCCCATCTTTTCAGGCCCCTGACGGTAGTTCTAGAAGTAGGGATCTTAAAGTTTTATTCGGCTTTCTGCCGTCAAGGCTTCATCCCAGCCTTGGAGCAACCACGAACTCAGGTCCCCACCTCGATCAGCGCCGCCGTCTCGTTCGAGGGCTCGTCGGGGACGGCGTCCTGAAGCTTTTAAAAAGAATCGTTATTGGGGTCTTGTTCCGTTCTACCGCGGGTTTATGAGTGCTGTATAATGTATTCGGGCACTAGGGTTCTATAAGGATGCGTTTAAAAGTTTCGGGTTTATGACCCTAAACCCGAAACCCTAAACCCCTAGGGCTTCGGGGATTTGAAGCTTTTGGTTTAAGAATTTAGTTGGTGTCGAATAGGATTTCTGTGTTCGGGATCCATTTCGCAGGTTTAAGGTTTCGGGGGTCTATGTTTTCCAAGAGGTTTAGGAGCGGGGGGGGTCTAACTCAAGAAGGTTAGAAAGGGTCTGCTTCAAGGGTTTCTTTCTAGCCTTTCAAAAGGTTTTGGTTTGGTGGGTTCCGGGATGTTTCGGGGACTTCAAGCGTGGCATCTCGATGCGACGTTTTGGAGGACCCACCTCATGTGTGTGTGTGTGTGCCGCGCGTAAACCAAGAACCCCGGAAGCACACCCTGGTAGAAACCCACAAAATCATTATTCCCCTCTGAAGAGGGGGGGGTGAAATAATATTTATTGCATGTAGCATTGAGCAAAAGGCCAAACAACATGCACACGGAGAGCTCTAAACACGTACATAGTCCCATCTACCCTAAACCCTAAACCCGAAATTAAATCTCTTCCAGCTGCAGGTTTTAGGGAACCTTGGCAGCTCAGGTGGAGGCTCGGTCTGAGCATGCACTATTGCACTTATAACGCTACGCACCAAGGCTTGAACTCAGGAGCTTCGACAAACAACTTACCCTTAATTTGTTACTACAACAGCTGGTTTAGGTATACTGGGGCTCTCGGATTGCCATATGAAAGCCGTGTGAATGATTACAATGACAGCATCTGATTTGCTACAGATTAATTTTTCGACATTTCGGTAGCTAAGATTGGATCCTCAGAAAACCATATCAGAACCTTGAAACTACTTATAACGCCCCTTTCGCCACACTTTAAAAGGCCCTTGAAGCATCTTTCAAGAATCACCCCGCTATATATAACTGTATATGTATATATATATATATATATATATGTATGTATGTATGTCCCCCCCCCCAGATCTACACCCGCCTCTTCCACACAATTCCACAAGTTGCTTCTCTACCTTGGTCGACTACTCATATATGCCGAGAACACCGTAAATACCGATACAATCGTGCTTTACTCCATGTGCACGCAAATAGTGCTGCTACAAGTCACGGGTTTGATATGTGTAAAAATCTGGCGCCGAATCTCGGCCGCAGGTTTATGGTAGTTTATGTGTTGGAGAAGCTGAAATGCTGGAGGGCGTGCTATTTTTGTTTTGTTAGTTCAAAAAAACCTCGCGTTTTTTTGCGTTTTATGGTGTGTTATTTAACAACATTCCTCTAATAATAAAAATACTATTGTCTCTCTTACGGAGACGTCTGTGTGCGTGGGCCATCTCTTTCCCGCTGCTCGTGAAGCGTCCGATTCTGATGCGGCCTAATAGCTCTAGCATGTGGTTTATGAGTTACGAAACACAAAGAGCTCTTTTCATGTCCTGTCCATTATACATGAAGGAAGTCGAATATACGGGCCCGTTTATTTTTGAAGCAATACTCCAATAGCTGTTCTTCGCCTCATAAAAAATGGGAAAGCTCCCCTGGAGTTGAAAAGCTCATGTGCATATGCGGGCTCGTCTGCAGCAAGAAGTAAGAGAGCTCCTGAAACCTTCCAAACATGAAGCAGGAATAAGTACGACTGGCTGCATGGATACGTATCAATTACAAGGCAGGGGCTCCTTCACCTTGTTCATACTTATCAAACACGAGCAATGCAAACAGTTGCTGTTCCAGAAGACACATAAAACAGTACTTCCAGTCCTTAACTGAAAGCACACATTTATCTTGTGATGCAATATATCCTGTCCTGGACATCAGAAAACACTGTAATGCTCAACAAAATTCCAAAATTTCTAACCCTGGAACTCACGAAACACTGTAATGCTCAAAAAAATCCAAAAATTCCAAAATGCTGGTACCTATGGCCAGGCCGGAGGCAAATTCCGTAAAACTTTGGAATTTTTTGAGCATAGCAGTGTGTCGTAAGCTTTGAGGCAATGAAAAATTGATTTGTTTTGAGCATTACAGTTTTTTGTAAGTTTTAAACCACGAAACACTGCTATGCTCAACACTTTCCAAAATTTGAAAACCCTGGAACTCACGAAACATTGTAATGCTCAAAAACTCCAAAAATCCAAAATTCTGGTATCTATGGCCAGGACCAGGACGGTGGCAAATTCCGTAAAACTTTGGAATTTTTGAGCATAGCCGTGTTTCGTGGTTTAAAACTCACAAAACTGTAATGCTCAAAAGAAATCAATTTTTGACAGACTCAAGGCTCAATTTTTTGAGCATAGCAGTGTTTCGTGGTCTAAATAAAACTCACAAAACACTGTAATGCTCCAAAAAAAAAAACATTTTTTCACAGCCTCGAAGCTCACTTTTTTTGAGCATAGCAGTGTTTCGTGGTTGAAATCTTACAAAACACTGTAATGCTCAAAAAAAATCAACTTTTCATTGCCTCAAAGCTCACGACACACTGCTATGCTCAAAAAATTCCAAAGTTTTACGGAATTTGCCTCCGGCCTGGCCATAGGTACCAGCATTTTGGAATTTTTTGAATTTTTTGAGCATTACAGTGTTTCGTGAGTTTCAGGGTTAGAAATTTTGGATTTTTGAGCATAGCAGTGTTTCGTGCTCCCCATGCCCCAAGAACCACGAAAGCGTAGATCTTGGGGGGGGGGGGGGGGGTGAGCATATATATATATATATATATATATATATATATATATATATAAGTCCGAAAAACACCAGCACCACAAAAATCGAAATTCCCAGCAGCTCTGACCCCGAGAGGCTTCGCCCAAAGCCCTACTTGAAGGGTCGAGGACTTAGCAAGTAGTTATCTTCTACATAGTTGCTGAGTTCATAAGCCCCAAAAAGCACTTTGAGTTTTATAGTGCTTAGTATTAGCCCAAAAAGAGCGCAGTGTATCCACTCAGCTACTGAGTAAAATCCGTATAACCCCAATTAAGGGAGGATTAACGGTGCTTAGAACTCTACTTGCTACCTACCTACTAAGTCCCCCGAGCCCCAAAGTTCAGGCTGAACCCTAAACCCTACATTCCCTAAACCCTAAAGCCCCGAACCCGGAAGTTTCTAAGCACTAAAAATTCGAGGGTTCTGAGAACAGCCGTTATCTGGACCCTGTAAAAATCATGTTTTTTAAGGATCCCTGTTATGGTTTCCTTATAAAAGTCATTACAAAGGGAAGGTTATTCGGGGTTCAGGTATAGCTATAGAACAGTCAAGCGAACCCTGTGCCCATATGGAACCCTCAAAGGAGCCTTTTGAGGATCCCTCCAAGGAAACCCTGAAGGAGCCCCGGAGCCCCAAGAACAATGCGGCTCCTCTGCAGGAACTGTGGTTGCTGGAGCCTCCTGATGGCTCTTGCTTTTGGGCTTATCGGGTTTAGGGGTTCAGGGTTTGGGGGTTAGGGTTTAGGGGTTACGGTTTAGGGGTTTAGGCTTTAAAGGGTTAGGGGTTAAGGGTTTAGGGGTTTGGGGGTTTATAGGGTTTAGGTTTAGGGTTTGGGGCTCCTTTGCGGGTACTATCGCAGTTCTATGAAGTGCTTCTGTTAGGCTTCTGTATGTGTGCTCCTGGTCAAGGGTTCTTGTGCGTTGTTGGGTGTATTGCGGTGCAAAACGAGATATAGAAGCCTGAATAAGTAGACTAGGGTTTGGGGATTTCTACGCCATATATTATGTTGGGGGACACTCGGGAACAAATTCTTCAGGCCCCTACGAACCTAAACACCACGAAGCTCAAACATAACATCAACGGTGCGTAAACATCGCATCAAGAACCTCGAATTCCTGGGAACAAGTTCGAGCTTACAGCCCAACTAAGTAGCAAAAACAACAAAACACATCTTGAAGGCCCTAAACCCATCACCCTGAAACTTATACTGTAATATAGGGGCGTCACCATTTACTTAAAGTATTCCCTGGGGTTCCCGATAATTATTGCCATATATGATATACCGGCCAAACCCTATTTTGAAACACGAAGACCTGAAGCTCAAACCTTAAACCCTACGGTGCTTAGAAGTTAATTTGAGAAGTGAGGCTCCTGAGCCCTCAAGTAGATCCCAACGTCACACCGTAATATAGGGGCCTTAGTGATTGGAATAGGGTTTCGGGGCCCTTTTAAATATAATTATAAGAAGGAACCCCCAGAATAGTATTGGTAATTATTCAGGCCCAGAACTGGGTCTCTGAGCCCACGATCTTCCAGGTACGGTAAGGTCGTATACTAGGATTCACAGTACCCCTCTTTAGTGTTCGATATGTATAAGGGCATTGCTCCCCAGTATTAGGGCCCCAAAAAAGCACATAAGCAAAAATTAGGGTAGGGATATCCCATATAAATCCCCTTATAATGAAGCCCAATAAGGTAGGGATATCCCCATAAAATGCTTGTGCTTATGTGCTTTTGGGGTCCCTAAAGTATTGCCTTGAACAAGGCAAACCCTGGTTTCCCATGATTCAAGCATGAGGACGAGGCCCCCAAAACACAAAACATAACAATGGTACTACTGGGGGACGGCGGCCTACAGCATCGGCTTTGGCTGTGGCGACGTACTAGCTGAGCCTTATTCATGATCATAGTTTGGGTGTGTATACTTCTATAGAGACTCTTTTTTGAATTCCGACCCCTCCAGTGCTCACCATGCCTATCAGAGCAATTTTACGTGGGCAAGCCCGTGCTCTAGCCTCCGTCTTGGTGACTACTTCAAGTCGCCTTCTAAGGCGGAAAGATATTACCTACATCCTAATCCGGCCAAACCCCTACACCTCCAGTTCAAAAATATCTCAACGCTAACAGCCTTGAGCCCTCAAGCCCTGCAATACCCGCATCGAAAGCCCGAGAAAACCTACAACAAACATGTACACCTGCAAAAACGTCTGGACACCCTAAACCCTAAGGCCGTAAAGGCTATACAACCCAACTAAGACAATCACTGTAAAGCGTCGTCCCGTCCGAGAGGAGTGACGACGCCTTAAAACGCTCACACGAACCCCTATAAACCCTGGAAACCAGAGAGCTTGAACCTAAACCCTAAATCTATAAAGCCCTAAACCCTAAAAACCAAAAACTACAAAACCCTAAACCCACAACAAAAATCCTACCCTAAACCCCTACGCTCCAAGCAAAAAACGACCCTACAATCCTTGAAGAACCCAGCCTCCCCCTTGGAGCCCTTCGGAGTAACGGGGAGGAGAATGGAAATCGCCGAGCCCGGCCGGCAACCTTCAGGGACATCCACCTGACCCCAGGCTTGGGGTTGAAGTTCTGTAAGTGTAGGGGTTTAGGGTTTAGGGGTTTAGGGGTTTAAGGATTTATGGTTTAGGTTTAGGGGTAAAGTTGTACAGGGGCTTAGGTTTACCTGCCAAGGTTTAGAGTTGAACTTGCATCAGAGAGCCCAATAGCCCTGAAGTAAGGAATATAGCATAACTCATAATATGAAGCCCATGATTTTTTAAGGTATGTTCCTTAATTATGGGGTATTGGGCTCTCTGGGTTCGGCCTAGTTAACTAATTACCCATACTATCTTGTGGGTTCCTTATTACGAGAATAATATAATGGGCCCCAAAAACCTTGTTCTAATTATCAAGGCCCGTATGTTAAATCCTTTTTTGAGTCAAGGATGGTTCAGGAATCAGGGTCTAGACCTAAGAGTAACCTAGGAACAAGGGTGCCCAAGGGGATTTATACGGGAACCTAAATCCTAAAAAAGGGAATGAGGCCTACTCTAGGTCCTAGGGATCGCGGTTTTTTAGCCGGACCTTTTCCCCTTACGAGAAAACCTTAGGACCAGGTCGACCACCTTCTGGTCGTAGTGGACGAGCATTGATCAGGGTTTACGGTTTAGGGTTTCTATGCGGGTTTAGAGTTTAGGATGGTCCACCTGCCCCGGGGTTTAGGTATGGGAGCTTAGGGTTTAGGATGGTTTAGGGCTCACAGGGTTTATCTGCCAATGTCTAGCGCTAAAGTTGCAAAATGGTTTAGGTTTTAGGAAGGTTTAGGGCTCACAGGGTCTACGGTTGATCTTTGTCTTACGGATTTTCCGAATACTTAGGGTACCCAAAAAGGGACCCTAATTTTGACAACTACCCACATGGTCTTTACAACTTGATACAAAGCTCTGGTTTACGGTCTGGTGGAGTTGTAGGTTTGGTTGTGTTTTCAGTGCCCGTAAGGTCTGGGCAAGCCGTGACCCTGTTCCAAGGCTAATGCAGGGTGCGGTCTGAATAGTTAGTACGGTTTAGGGTTTACTTAGAGGATCATGGGACTTAGTAAGTAGGTTATATTTGCGGTTATAAGTCCCCTAAGTGGGGCTATCCTGATTATAAGCTACTTATCACCCTACTTACTAAGTCACATGATCCTCTAAGTACGGTTTAGGGTTTAGGGTTTCTGGTCCTAGTGTATTTCTCCTACAACTAAGATCCCCAGTACCCTAGGAACAAAAAAGCTTTCCGCTTTTGGCATTGGCTACTGTGATAAGGAACCTAAGACCACCAACCCCTAAGCCCTAAACCCCAGTAACGTAAGACCACCAAAGAGTGGAAAAAGGGCCCACGGGAAGACCTAAACCCTAACGGCCCTGATCGACTGCGTTAAGGGTTTTGAGCTTGGGGCTTGGGAGTTGGTGTAGGGGCCTTAATTTAGAATAGTGTTTGGGGGTTCCTCTAGTTATAATTCATACTGTGCCCCAAATTCCTATTCAAATGATTAAGACCCCTAAATTGGCCAGTCCGGGCAATTGTGAGAGCAGTAGCCGCGGACGGACACGTGGCTCAGTCGGATTGACGAGCATCCTCGGCGCTTTTCGTTGCTCCAACTCTTGGAGCTGGTCCTGGCCGCAGGACTGCGAGGCTTTGGGTGTCTGTCCTGCCGGATATCCAGGAAATGGATGCACTTTCCAATTCCATGGAGCTCGTCCTGGATTTCCGTGATGGCCGCCTGAACCCGAGCCGTTTTGGCCCATGGGGTCTTGTGCTCCCACACCATCCCGAGACACACTTCTTGAATAGCCGGTAAGAAAGCTCGAGCTCCAGTCCTGCAAACATGTCTCGCGTTTCAGGCGCTCGATTTGCTGGCGAAGCCCCCGGGCTTCGTTCGTGCTGCTCCTGCACGGATGATGCAAAGATAAAGATGCACCCTTTTGAAAGCCTAAGCCCAGGCTAAACCTTAACCTTGAATTTTGTACTAGAAAAAACATGAATGAAGCAATGATTTGAGGCCTAGGCAGGATTTACGGTTCAGGATTTAGGGTTTCAGGTTGGAAACCCTAAGCCCGAGACCTGTGAATCCATCCATGACCCCCAAATCAGAAGAACACGGAACCCAGCGCCGCAAACGATATCCCCAAATATGACAGCTACCTCCCAAAACCCTGAAGCACCAAAGCCCCCCAAACTCCTACCCATGCCGAAGCCCTGCAGCCTCAATGCCTGAAAACAGCGCGCCTGGACCATCTTTCCGTCAAACCTACAGCTGTGGAAAGAAGCTTCCGTGGGCCGATATGCGGGTTTGTAGGGCTTTAGGGTTTTAGGGTTTTAGGTCTAAGGGTTTTAAGGGTTTTATGGTTTAGGGTTTCAGGGTTTAGGGTTAGGGGTTTTAGGGTTTGTAGGGTTAAGGGGTTTAGGGCTTAGGGTGTGGGGGTTTGTGGGGCCAAAGGGTTTAGGGTTTGAGGGTTAAGGGTTTCGGTGCTAAGGGTTTAGGGTTTGAGGGTTAAGAGTTTCGGTGCTAAGGGTTTAGGGTTTGGGCATGTGAGATTTAGGGGGGTGACTGGTATGCCCAAGCGCCAGCCCCGACAAATCCCGCGCCCTTAACTCTACATCCCTAAAACTGTATACCCTGATCTCTACTCCTCTTATTACCTGATAAGACAAACAAGACGAAAACTTGTTGGAGAGCCCTAGAAGTTTAGGACTTGGAGTTTAGAGTTTAGAGTTTAGGGTTTGGGGTTATGGGGTTTAGGGTTAAGGCTTTACGGCATAGGGTCTAGGGCTTCGGGTTGAGTGTTTAGAACCCAAAAACAAAAAGAACAAAACTTAACAGCCCAAAAAACCATACCCAAGAGAACGAACAGTCATAGAAGCCCTAGAAGCTATACTACAAAAGCTTGAATTATCACCAACACCAGCCCATAGGGTTCCCTCAGAAAGAAAGCGCACCATAATTGTGACATACCTCAAACTCTATTCTAGCTGCTAAGGCACGTCTATTACGTCTATTACAGTAAACCTGAACTCTAGACCCTGGCTCAGAGCTTTCGGTTTCAGTGCAAGGCTGTTGGGTTTGAAGGCTATTTAAAGGAAAGGCTACTTAAAGGCTGTTCAAAAACAAGGGTTCCCTTTAAGGGTTCCTGTATGGGTCTAGGGTTTACTGAAAGGCTCGTGGGACTTAGTAAGCCAGGTTATAAATAAGGTTATTCCAATATTGATAGCCCCACTTTTGGCACTAATAACCCAATGACAAGCCTACTCACTGTGTCCACTAAGCCCTCAAGTATCGGAGGTTTGGGATGTGTGGGCTTCTGATAGGGAGCCTTGCCATACCATAGGGGCATCAATAATTCGAGTAGTTGTTTGGTCAGTGCTGAATCATGCTACCAAATAGTCGAAGCACTGCCTGAACTTCTTTAGCCGAGCTGCTTCACTTCGAAGACATCACCGGGTTTCACCCCATCCGGAATGATCACTTCGAGCTTCATCGTGGCAGGCTCTTCTTCGGCCTGGGTTTTGGAGAGCTTACGGTTGCCCAGGGATAGGGTTTGGGGTGGGTCACTTCAAGCTTTGGGACGCTATAAGAGGTGGCATGCAACGGCCCGTACAGCATGCATACATGCTCTCGGGTCCCGGGCCCCCACCCCCCCCCCCATGGTATCCCCCCCCCCCCCCGGAGCCCTTTTCTGTGATCCCACGTAAAGGCTCCAAAACCGTCAACTGTCACGAGGATGGCGCCCCTCACCGTGCACGTCTCCCACATGAAGGCACCAAAACCGGCAACTGTCACGAGGATCGCGTTCCAAACACGCCCGATCCTTGTGACAGTGGACACCTTCCGTCCGAACCCAAGCTGTGAACAGGACCGCGTCCCTGACAGGCCCGATCTCTGTGCCCAATTGTCAGGAAGATTGCCAGTGTGACACAAGATAAATAAACAGAAAGGAACGACATGATGATGATCATGATGATCATGTTCATGATCTGATGATGGTGATGGTGATGATGGTGATGATGGTGATGATGATTATTATACCAAACAGCCCAAGCAGGCCCAAACCCCGAAGCACGCCACACCGGGAGGGAGGCACCCCACGCAGACCCAGGGGGAGGCACCCCACGCAGACCAAAACCCCGAACCACGCCACATCACAGGGGGGGAGCAGGGGGACCATCATTTTCATGATGATGATCATGATGATGATGATGATGGTGATGCTGATGATTATACAAAGCACCCCAAGCAGACCGAAACCCCGAACCACACCACACCACAGGGGGGGGGAGGCACCCCACGCAGACCCAAACCATCCCAAACCCCGAACCACACCACACCACACCACGGGGGGGCAGGGGGACCATCATGTTCATGTTCATGATGATGATCATGCAGAGCACCACCGGATACCACACCACAGGGCCCACACCACAGGGGGTGGGGGGGGCGGGGGGACCCCATACCACAGGGGAGGGGAGGGGGATACCGCAGGGGCGGCGGGGGGGGAAAAGCACCACAGCACAGGGCCCACACCACAGCGGGGCGGGGGGACCTCACACCACAGGAGAGGGAAGGGGGTGATACCATGGGGGGGGGGGAGGGGGAGGGGGGTGGCAGCCCTGCATCATACATGGGCCTACAACGGCAAATACGCGGACAACAGAAGCTCTAATCTCCAAACTCTGAGCCCTAGCCGTTGCAGCTGAAGTATATCAAAGGGGAAAAGGAGGGACCCTTAATGGGGACCCCTACCCTATAATGGGCTATATAATGGTTATATGATAGCTTTATTAAGGGTATATACCTAGGGGTCCTTATTAAGGGTCCCTCCTTTTATCCTTGGAGTATATGGTGGACTTGCATTGCTGTATAACAGACCACTTCACTAAATGCTCAGGCCGGTTGCAAAGCTTGCCGTTTTGTCGGCGATCAACCATAAACCCTACTCCATCGGCCTAAGCCCTATCAGGAACGAGATCTAGTTGTAGTAACGCTGAGAGGAACCTTGAACCTAAAACCTTAACCCCTTAGGAAGCAGTCACAAAAAAGACCACAAGCCAAGGAAGAAACAAAATCATAGGGCTGCGGACAGCCGAAACCCTGAGACTCTCAGGCCATAAGCCCTAAACCTGCTGACTAATATCACCAGAAGCGAAACCAGAAACCATATCCGATAACCCTAGACCGCTAAGCCCTGAATACCCTAAATCGCCTAACCCTTGAATTATTAACTTTAAACTCTTAAGCCCTAATCTGTCCCCGCCTGCCCCCCCTCCCTCCACTGAAAAGAACCTTTAAGTAGATCACTGATAAGTTCCCTTAAAGGAACCCTCTTACTACGCCCACCTCCCACAGACTCCAATATCCCTTAATTCAGGAATATTCCTTAAATCATATTAGGGGGCTTACCATAACTTAAGGTATATTCCTGAATTATTAAGGGATATTCCCAAAGTCATATTCGGGATCTTACCATAACTTATTAAGGTATACTCCTTAATTAAGGGATATTGGAGTCCCAGGGCTCCCCCCCAAGTCATCCGCACCTGAGCCGACGCTGCCTCTCTCGGCACTTCAGCCGCAGGCTCCTCTTTGTGGCTTGGGGCTCGCGGTGTTCAATAGAACCCTTAACAAAAAAGCCCTTAAAGGAATGCTAAAGGCAGGGTCTCCAATAAATGGGACCCTTGATAAAGACCCTTAATAAAATGAAAACAGCCTTTTGAAGAAATGCTAACCTAAGGTATTGAATAGAACCCTTAATAAATGAAAACCCTGAGAAGAATGCTAAGTTGAAGCTAGCTGTTTTCCTCGAGTAAGGTGTTGGGCTCTCTGGGCTCTGAGGAACACTGACATTAGAAGAAACCTAAACTCTTATAGAAGCCTTTTAAAAAGGAACCCTACAAAGAAGCTTATAGAAGCCTTTAAGGAAGCCGTTAAAAAAGCCTAAACTCCTGTAGAGGCCTTCAAAGGAAGCCTTAAAGGAACCCTAGTTAAAGGCTCATGGGACTTAGTAAGCAAGGTTATAAGTAGGCTATAATTAGGATAACCCCACTTCGGGGACTTATAACCGCAGCTGTAAGTAAGCTAACCGAAGCTCCCCCTTATAGAACGCCACAGCATCCCTTAAAGGAGCCCTATTCCTTAAGGAACCCCCTAAGTACCCTTTAGAAGGCTCTAATATTTCTCACTAAGAAGTAATTAGGGATCACAATAAAGGGTAGTGGGAAGGAACCCTATTCTCAAATAAAAGAAACCTAAACTCTTCCAGAAGCCTTCAAGGAAGCCTTAACAGGAACCTATAAACTCTTATAGAAGCCTTAGAGGAAGCCTTAAAAGAAACCTAAACCTCTTCCAGAAGCCTTACAGAGCCTTACAGGAAGCCTATTCCATCTATGCCTCAAAGCACAAGTGCTTACCCCGATCCTGTTCGACACCTATCAAAGCACGGGTGTTTGCCCCAATCTTGTTCGACATCACTTACCCCGATCCTGTTCGACATCCATGCTTCAAAGCCAGCGTTTACCCCGATCTTGTTCGACATCTATGCCGAATCTATGCCTCAAAGCGAGTGTTTACCCCGGTCCTGTTCGGCATCTACGCCGACACTTAAAACGCTTGCTTTGAGGCATAAGCGTCGAACAGGATCCGGGTAAACACTTGTGCTTTTGAGGCTCAGATTTCGAACAAGATCGGGGTACTGTAACGCTTGCTTTGAGGCATAGATGCGAACAAGATCGGGGTAAGGTAAACACTTGAGTTGAGGCATGGATGTCGAACAAGATCGGTGTAAACGCTTGTGCTTTGAAGCATAGATGTCGAACAAGATCGGGGTAAACGCTTGCTTTGATGCATAGATGTCGAACAAGATCGGGGTAATCGCTCTTTTTAAGGCATAGATGTCGAACAGGATCGGGGTAAACACTCGTGCTTTGAGGCATAGATGTCGAACAGGATCGGGGTAATCGCTTTTTTAAGGCATAGATGTCGAACAGGATCGGGGTAAACACTCGTGCTTTGTGGCATAGATGTCGAACAAGATTGGGTAAACGCTTGCTTTGAGGCATCGATGTCGAACAAGATCGGGGTAAACGCTCGCTTTGAGGCATAGAGGTCGAACAGCATCGAGGTAAACACTTGTGCTTTGAGGTTTAGATGTCGAACAAGATCGGTTGTAAACGCCTTTTTGCAGGCATTGGGGGGCGCTAATCCGTCTGTTCCACTCGCTCCACTCGCTCCACTCGTTCCACTCGCTCCACTCGCTCCACTTGCTCCACTCGCTCCGCTCGCTCCACTCGCTCCACTCGCTCCACTCGCTCCACTTGCTCCACTCGCTCCGCTCGCTCCATTCGCTCCACTCGCTCCACTCGCTCCACTCGCTCCGCTCGCTCCACTCGCTCCACTCGCTCCACTCGTTACCTGTTCCACTGATTAGAGCGAGTGGGAGTGGAGCGAGTGGCGCGAGTGGCGCGGACGAGGTTTTGGGATGTTGAGAGTCGGGTCTGTAATCTAAAGGCCAGCTACTCCACTACTCCGACCGTTCCAATCGTGCCTGTCGTTCCACTAGAAGCGTGTTCCACTCGTGCCACTCGCTCCAGTCGCCCCTGTACATTACCTGTTCCGCTCTTTCCTATTCTTTCCTTTAACTGAGCGAGTGGTGCGAGTGGAGCGAGTGGCGCGAGTGGCGCGAGTGGAGCGAGTGGAGCGAGTGGCGCGAGTGGCGCGAGTGGCCCGAGTGGCGCAAGTGGCGCGAGTGGCACGGACGAGGTTTTGGGATGTTGAGAGTCGGGTCTGTAATCTAAAGGCCAGCTACTCCACTACTCCGACCGTTCCAATCGTGCTTGTCGTTCCACTAGAAGCGTGTTCCACTCGTGCCACTCGCTCCAGTCGCCCCTGTACGTTACCTGTTCCACTCTTTCCTTTAACTGAGCGAGTGGCGCGAGTGGAGCGAGTGGCACGAGTGGCGCGAGTGGAGCGAGTGGAGCGAGTGGCGCGAGTGGCGCGAGTGGCCCGAGTGGCGCAAGTGGCGCGAGTGGCGCGGACGAGGTTTTGGGATGTTGAGAGTCGGGTCTTTATAATAGGGCCAGCTACTCCACTACTCCGACCGTTCCAATCGTGCCAGTCGTTCCACGAGAAGCGTGTTCCACTCGTGCCACTCGCTCCAGTCGCCCCTGTACGTTACCTGTTCCACTCTTTCCTTGAACTGAGCGAGTGGCGCGAGTGGAGCGAGTGGAGCGAGTGGCGCGAGTGGCGCGAGTGGCGCGGACGACTTTAATTCTCCCCCCCGTGCGGCCGCAATGGACTTATATAAAGAAATCATACTAGGGAACCCGAAAAAGGCAGGTTCCTTAGGGTCCAGGTCAGCATAGGGTTATACCACAATGTCTAACAAAACCCTACTGATACTGCTGATGGACAAAATCCTGCATGACCTTAAGGACCCTAGACTATGGGAACTATGGTATATTCCTTATAATACGTAATGCAGGATTTACATCATCAACCCTCAACCCTAAACCCTAAAACCCTATAGATCCCTTAGAGGTACCCTTATAGATCCCTTAAAAGGAACCCTTATGCAAGATTTTGTCCATCAGCAGTATTATTACCCGGAGAGCCGACTTGGAGGGCCAGGGGACGAAGTGGAGGTCGCTAAGTCGCTCAGGGGCTCCTTAAACGGATCCTTAAAGGGATCTATAAGGGAGTTTCCGAAAATTAGGGGTACCTTATTTGGGGGTCCTTGTAATAAGGATCCTACTATTTAGGGTACTATACTAGGGTCCCCCATTTTCGGAAACTCCCATAAGGCTTCTATAATGAGGGTAGGGGGACTAAGTATTTCCAAAAGGCCCAACACCCCCTGGACTCAGGAATGTGGCCTGAAATTTGGATCTAAGCTTTTTGGGTTTTAGGGTTTAAGGGTTTAGGGTCTCCGAGGACTTAGTAAGTAGGTAATAAGTATAGAGTTATAAGTACCCTAAAAAAGGCATCCTATTTGATTGGGCTGATGATTCTTATAAGTCTCTAAGACAATTCCTTACTAAGTCCACCGACCCTCTAAATGAGACCCCTTGGCTAAGGCTTAGGGGCTTCTGGTTTATACCCAGAAAGCTTAGAACCCCTTTACTGAAGGATAGAGAGTGTAAGGTTTAGGGCTCCTTTTGAGGGGTGCTACAGGGTTCCCGTTCAGGCTTTAGGCTTTAAGGAGAGCTGCTTTAAGGACTCCTATGAGGGTGCTTTGAAGAGTCTTATACAGATGAATACCCCTTAATTGAGGACTAGGGCTGAAATCATAATATGAATGAAGCGCTGGGTAATTTCAGGTATATTCCTTTATCAAGGGGTATTGGGCTCACTGGGTGAGGCGGCCTAGCCGAAACAGTTTTACAGGATCGACAAGGCTCTCTGGGGCAGAAACCCCAAAAGGGTATCTTAAACCCGCAATCTGAAGTTCTTAGTCTGATCTTGGCTAAGATAACCCTAAAACAGGGCCTGCATTGAGGGATGCATACTTGGGATCATGCAATGTGTAGAGGTTTAGGTCGTTTTTGGGAGGGGCGGGGCGGCTAAACCCTAAACCCTAAACCCCTAAACCCTAGACCCTAAGCCCTAAACCCCTAAACCCTAAACCCCAAACCCTAAACCCTGGCCTTAAGGTTGTCGGCTTCAACTTGCGGGCTTTAAGGCTTTGGGTTTTTTGGGCTTGCTTTAGGGTAAAGGGTTTTAGGGTTTAGGGTTTAGGCTTTTAGGGTTTAGGGTTTTAGGGATTTAGGGTTTTGGGGTTTAGGGTTTAGGGCAGCAGGGGTTAATTTACGGGATGCTTCATCCGGGTTTTGGCAAGGCTATGTGGGACTGTGACTGTAAGGCTTCCTGTATCCAAGGGGAAACGGAGGGACCCTTAATGGGGACCCCTACCCTATAATGGGCTATATAATTAGTATATAATAGCTATATTAAGGGTATATACCTCGGGGTCCTTATTAAGGGTCCCTCCTTTTACTTAAGAGATGCTTCATCAGAGTTATGACAAGGTTAGTACGGGTTGAACAAGGGCCTATAGTAAGGCTTGTGAACGGCTTATGGTGTCTGTTAGACGGTTAAATCGTAAGACTTGGAAGGCTAGACACCAAATCTGTAAGCCCCTAGCCCAACGTAGCTTTCCAAAATTGGGAAAGGGTATCTTAACCCCTTAGCCCTAAACCCCTAAACCCCCTACTAAACCCCGACATTAACCTACCAAAACCTACTTTTTTGTAGGGTCCCCAAAATCTCCATTTTAGGGTTTATAATAAGAACCTACCAAAAAATAGGGTTTGGTAGGTTAAGGTAGACCATAAACCCCTGAATCTTAAAGTCCCTGAAGCCACCCTGCGTACCTCGGCCTGCGCCGTCGCGGGAGCCGTCACCGGCTCATTGCTCACCTGAAATTTCTGTTGATGTTATAAATCCTGCATTACCTTAAGGACCCTAAACTACGGGAACAATGGCATATTCCTTATTATGGGTAATGCAGGAGTATATTATCAACCGTTTGCTTTGGGAACGTAGGGTTTAGGGGTCTAGAGTTTAGGGTTCTACCCAGAGGCCCCAAAGTAGTTCCTTTTCGGGGTTCAAAAATAGAATCCTATAAAGTAATCCCAAAGAAGAACTACTTCGGGGCCTATGGGTAGAGTTTAGGGTTCTAGGGATCGAGGTTCTGGGGTTTCGGGTTTTACGGGATTAGGGGTTAAAGGTTCAGGGATTTAGCGATTTAGGGCTCTGGGATTTAGGGTTTTGGGGTTTAAGGATTTGCGGGCTTAGGGATGTAGGGTTTACAGTTCCAAGGTTTCGGCGGGCAAGGGTTTAGGATATCCGGTGTTTCGGTTTAGGGGTTCAGGATTAAGAGCTTATAGGGCTTTGGGGATGTATATAGCGGGATCTGGTGATCTAGCATCTTAAGAGTTGGAGAAGGTCTCTATAGGTGGTTGAGGACGTTGCGGGGTTCTATACGGGGCTGCACTGAGTCTACATGCTATGTCAGTCCTTACGTGTTTAGAAGGATCTTATTCTATACGGACTCGAATTTGAATGAAGTTCCTGATTATCCCAAAAGGGGGGTTTAAGATTCTTAGGGTAGCGATTCCTTAATAATATGAACCCTATTATGGGAACCGAGTGGTGATCCAGACCCCCGGGAGGATCCAAAAAGTAGATCTCTGAATGGGGATTCCTATACAGTACCCTTAGTAGTATAGGGGCCCCAAATTAGGGGATCTACTTTCTAGATACTACCGGGGGTCTGGTGAGAGGCATTAAGAAATTGGAGCTTAGCGGTTTTAGCATCGTTCTGTCTTTGAGCTCCTGGGGCTCATAGTTTAGGGTTTAGGGTTCATAGAATTGGGTGTTCGGGTATAGTACTTATCGCAAAATTAGATCGGAGAACATAAAGGCATAATTAACTGACAACTTATTCCGACCCCTATAGCTGTATTCCTTGTCAGCGGAGCATGACCAACCCCCGGCTCCACATTCACCGAATTTAAACGGAGAGCGTCATTCTAGACCAAATCCCCACACCTCCCCTAAACCCTTAAAATCCCCTAAAACACTAAACCCCTAAAATCCCCGAAAACCATATACCCCTAAACCCCTAAAGACCCCTAAACACCCCTAAAATCCCCCAAATCCCTAGACTCTACGCCTGACTTCAAGGCTTCGATCCCCAGCAACCTGGGAACAAAAAAAAGCTCCCTTCTGGGTACTAGGCCCCCAGGTGGGACCTCTAAACTTATATGGGGTCCCCCAAGGGTCCCTTTAAAGGGATCTATAGGGATTCTATAAGGGTATAGGGTTTAGGGCCTACGTGGAGGTCCATTGGTAGTTATAAGTGGAGTTATAAGTAACCTAATATGGGTTATACCTGTAGATACCCTACTTACAACCCCACTTATAACTACCCATGAACCTTCAAGTATGCTTACGGAACATGAGGCCGCAAAAGAGACCGCGCTGGGAGACCTACCTTAACCTACCAAAATAGGCAACTTGAGCTACTTACAGGTCAGGGTTGAGGGTTTAGGGTTTAGGGAAGCTCTATACTCATCCCGGTTGTGTTGGCTCCTGGCTGAGGCGTCTAAAGGCGTTGGATCCTACCACACCATCCCGAAAATGTGTTAGAACACCATGCTAAGCAGCAAGCAGCTTCTTCACGTAGTTGAAGTCGAAAACAGAATAAAGCCTACAGCTCTACCCCAAACCCCATAGCGTATAAGCTAAGAACATGCGGATAACAAACCTAGTTCATGGTTGGGGTAGGATTAAGAATGCACATGTTCATTCCTTATTGGGTTTAAGTACCCTTAAAAATGCAAAATGTTACGCAACTATGACAGAGAAACAAGCAGAAGGCCCTCATCGAAACTAGACCGACGAAGAATACAGGAGCCTCAGCAAGTAGAATCATGTGGGTTCCGTTAAGACTTTAAGGTTCCCTCAGTCAGGTGCCTTGAAGGGTTCTCATAAGTTTAGTTGCACAGCCTAAGCACTGTGTGTTGGGATATGTCATTTTATAGCTATATGAAGGAACCCTGAGGAATACTGTTGCTCATCGTTCCGAACCATTTATGAATCCCTTTGCTTGAGAAACCGTGTTAGTAGCATCCCTTCTGAACTCCCGGACGGGGGACTGGGAGTAGGAATCATATTTCCCACTAGGCATCTAAGCCCACATGGGAGTTTCCAAAGATTAGGGGTGCCTTAGTTTAGGGTCCTTATAAGAAGGATCCGATTATTCGGGGTATTGTTTTAGGGTCCCTTATTTTCGGACACTCTCATGTTCCCCATGAGGCATCTAAGCCCACATTGACCAGTAGGAATCTGGCTTCTGGTGTCGTCGCCACGGTCTCTGCAGGGGGCGCAGAAACTGCAGCGGAAGGCGGAAGGTGTGGGGCTTTGGGTGCTCAGGCTGTGCAACTCAGGCCTTAGGCATGTAGGTGCCAGGTGTTATACTCGGGTGCTGTAGCGGAGTTGTATGTGGTTGTGCAGGGTGCCTGCACTTGTAGTTGAGTCTTGGGGTCGTTTTGGGTTTCGCAGTGTGCAAAAAGCCTATAATGTAGGTGTCGGAACAAACGTTACTGAGTACTGTACATTATATGAGCACCTCACTGTACCTATATTCGAAGGTACGGAAATGTACCCTAAAACCCTTGGGCCATGAATTGCTCACCAAGCCAGGCGAATGCATGTAACTAGGGCGGGCTCGGGGTTTGGCGGTATTGGGCACATGGAAGCTACCTTCACAAACCATATAGTGCTTGGAAACTGTGTAAAACTCTTCCTTGTCTGTCGATACGTAAAGTCATGTTGGAGTCGATAGGAACCTTGGAATAGATTTGCTGTCAACCTGAATAACCTACTTGTCGGGTATCATGGGGAACTAAGGTGAGCTCAGGTTAACCTTTTGGTTATATATTAGGGTCGGCCCCCGCCCATTAATAGTGACCACAATCAGACCCACCAAAATAAGCACCCCGAAAAAGGCCCAATTGACCTAAGGATATGATCAGACTCGAGGAGCACAGAAGTCAAGCAGATGCACATCTTCGGACATCGGTGATGATGTTAAGGGTTAGGTTCACATTGAGTTGGGGGGGCCAACTTAAGGCCCAGGGGTTAAGGTTGCAGTCGAGTTAAAGTAAAGCTAAATTCGGCTAGGTTGAACTATTTTAAGTTAAGTGAAGCTAAATAGATTAAAATACACTAAGGTGAACTAAGCTAAGGTGAGCTAAGCTAAGTTCAGCCGCCAAGCGAATCAAATTAGAGATAAGTAGAATACATTGACATCGAATAAGCTTAGTTAGAACTTTTAACTGTTAACTTGAAAGTTCGGGGATAAGTTAAAGTAAAGTTAAGCTACGTGAAGTTAAGTTGAGGTGGGCCAAGTGATCGCTGCGAAGCTGCTACACTCAACTGAATTAAGCTCAGTCAAAGCCGAAGCTCCGGCTCCAGTCGCCAACAGGTTGACTCATGCCACACCGGCATGGGCCAGGGGCCTTGGGGGGTCGTGTGGCGCCAGATTTTGCATGCAAAATGCGCGCAAAAACTGTCCAATATTAAAAAAAAAAAAGTAGATTGCGAAAATTTATAGGTTCGACCCCGTCCTCCTTCTTATAGCTTGGGGCAGGGGCCTTGGGGGTCCCGGGCCCTGGCTTGAGGGGATCCCGGCCGTGGCCGGCCTCTGGCCGGATCCGGGCCGATCGATCATTTTTAGTAGCAGAACCGGATTCCTTTTAGAATTCATGAACACAATCTGATGGTTGTCTGATGCAAAACCCTGGTGCTTTTTTTGGTGCTCCTGTTGCGATTTGCTGGTGCTAATTTTGCGATTTCCTGGTGCTAATTTTGCTTGGGTAGTTTTCTAGATTGTGCTTTTTGTTTGTGCTTTGCTGGTGCTTTTGTTGGTGCTCCTGTTGCGATTTGCTGGTGCTAATTTTGCGATTTGCTGGTGCTAATTTTGCGATTTGCTGGTGCTAATTTTGCGATGTGCTGGTGCTAATTTTGCTTGAGTAGTTTTCTAGATTGTGTTGTTTTTGGTGCTTTGCTGGTGCTTTTTTTGGTGCTCTCGCTGGTGCTCCCTCTCATATAAACTTAATCGTGTGCAGCTGTGTCCCATTACATCTTAGCATATCTGGTGCTTTTCCTGGTGCTAATTTTGCGATTTGCTGGTGCTAATTTTGCGATTTGCTGGTGCTAATTTTGCTTGGGTAGTTTTCTAGATTGTGCTTTTTTTTTGTGCTTTGCTGGTGCTTTTGTTGGTGCTCCTGTTGCGATTTGCTGGTGCTATTTTTGCGATTTGCTGGTGCTAGTTTTGCGATTTGCTGGTGCTAATTTTGCGATTTGCTGGTGCTAATTTTGCTTGAGTAGTTTTCTAGATTGTGCTTTTTTTTTGTGCTACATGATCTGGTTTTTTGGAAGGCGCGCAGGCCCTGCGCGGATCTACGGCTCACTCTCTGACTGAAAGGTGGTGTTTTTCTGGTGCCTTTGTGCTGCTTAGCTCCTGCTTTTCTGGTGCTCTTCTGGTGCTTTTCTGTGCTTGCAGCACTGAAGCCTCTGCAGGGTCGCAGACCACTACGCCGACGCCTGCCAAACCTTAGCTGGACAGTACCGCAACCCTGCAATCACAGCTGGCAACACAAGCAGCCCACAGCGTACAGTTATGCTATGCAGCTATGCAATAGCTCATGGCTCAAGTCCACAACTCTCTGTGCACAGCACAGCGCCCTGCTGCGATGGTTTTTACCTCACAATGCCATGGCGACAGCACCCTTCATGCAATCAATCATGCCAGCAACACCGACAAGGTAAATAAATGACGTGATCTTGTCGCGGTTGGGTCATGAGTCCAAGGCAATGGCAATGGTGCTCTGGTCCACGGTTGTGGTCTGTGTATGGGTCATGTATGCTCCAGGCTTCGGACACAGTGGGAAACTACTACTTATTACACAAGTCATCTTCCTGGTTGGTGGTCTTGCGGCCCTTCGCACACACAAGCTTTCGCGTTTGGAATGGATCGTGACACATGCGGTCACATCCCAAATCTCTTGGGGACAGATTTTCTGGATTTTGGATCACACTTCTGCACACATCCAACATTTGCTTGGGCCGTTCAGCCACAAGGTTCTCGACATTGGATCATATCTGATCACATATTCCCACATTTGCGTGGGCCCATCCACTCCAGGTGTCTCTACTCCTGGTCACATGTCGGCAAATACCCCAAAAAGTAGATTGGATTTCCTGGTGCTCATTTTGGCCAGTGTGAAATATAATAAACCTATTTTTGAACTATTAATGGGCGGGGGCCGACCCTAAGTTATATAGAGGTTATATAGGGACTGTACTACCCAAAGCTGTTAAAGGTTGTAGTGGCCACTATACCTACTCTACTACTAGGATAACCGGTTTGACTACCTTCACCAGTTCTGCGGGTTCTTAGCAACACAGGCTGCCATGACTAGTCGGTCACGCGAATTTCCGGTTCAAAACGCAACGCCCCAAACAAGACATGTTTTAACTAAGTAGACCAATAAAAGACCGTACGTACGACATCCCGCGCCTTCGAACTCCAAAAGTCCTAAAAGCCTAAACCCGACAAGCATAACAGCCTTACGTGCCTAAGCGCGAAAACCCACCTTAGATTATTATGTATACGCCTTTATACTGCCGGTAAACAGACACTGGCACAACCCTGCAAGACCCGATGAGACATCATGCAACCTGCAACCCTACCTAGATAAACCTTGGACATTCAGTGCAGAAAAGCCTGCCCAAACCCTAAAGCCCTAAACCTTAAACCCTACACCCAGAAACCCTAAACCCTACTAAACCTTAACGAATATACCCTAAACCCTAAACCCTGAACCTGAACGAATAAACCCTAAACCCTAACCCCGAAATCCTACTAAGCCTTGACGAAAAAATCCTAAACCCTAAAGCCTGCTAAACCTTACCTAAAGGCTCATGAGACTTTGTAGGTAAGGTTATAAGTAGGTTGTAATGGGAAACCCCAGTTACGGACTTATGATCCCAATTACAACCTATCTACTAAGTCCCATGATCCTCTAAGTAAACACCCATAGGAGAGGCCTTGGGCCGGCTTGCCGGCCTCCTGCACACACGGCTTCAGGCTTTGGGGCTTCAAGTTTTTAGAGCTGAGGGTCTTTTTCGGCTTCAGAACTAGGCTTCCCTTTAAGGGTTCTAGAGTGAGGGCAGGGATTCCTGGGATACGACCCGAATACAGTAACAGTCCAACAACGGCTAATGTTAAGGGCCAGCTTCTAAATACTGAGTGCGGCGGCAGCACCCAAAAGACTAATTTTCAGTTATGTAGATGATGCTAGAGTCTCTGGATTAGGAGTGGACCCTAAACTCTGAAACCAACACACACACACACACACACGCGCGCGCACACACACACACACACCAAAGGGCTTCTCGGGCACTCAGCAAGTCGTCAATGATAAGGGTGTTGTTGTTTCTCACTTTTCTGTTTTATAGCGCTCGATTCATATAACCTACTTACTAAGTCCCATGACCCTCTAAGTATAACCTAAACTCCGCCTTATAGAACCTTACAGATCCCTTAAAGGAGCCCTATAACTGAGGAAGCACTGAAACCTGCAGCGGACTGGAAAAATCCTCCCTCAAGGCTCCTGTCGTGCGGACTCCTTCGGCGTGACCGGAATGCCGATGGCGATTGTAGAGCCGGGCCCATTATCTGCGGGAGCGTCCGCCTCCAGCATAGGATTCAAGGTTCAATCGCACGTAGCCCAGAACCAGCTCACACTTTTCTAGATGGAGCAAGACCCCCCAAAACCCTAGATCAAGCATACAAAGCTTTCAAGGCGCTGCTACTGAGTATGTAGGGAAATGTACCGAGAGCTGCGCAAACCTAACCTTCGCTGTGGTTCTTTCCAGAATCTCGGCAGCAAACAAGTAAGGCTAGGACCCACCGTGGCCTCGGAACACTGCTTTGTTTCGAGGGCTTAGGGTTGAGGTTTAGTTTGGTTGGGGGGTTCCGTTGGCTCTTTAGCTGCTTATTTAATAGGGATTATCATCATCCCTAGCTCCGTAGCTCTGATATTGGGTAGATAGAGTTGAGGGTTTACGCTGGGGGGCCAGGTGCAAGTCCCTCTGTCGGCTTGGGGTTTCGTGCCTGGCGGGGCATCAGGGTTTAGGGTTCAGGCTTCAGCGTAAGGTGTCGAGTTAAACAGGTTAAGCATTAGGGTCTTGGGTTTGGGGTGGATCTACGTCTCCCAGGATACTTAGAGGATCATGGGACTTAGTAAGGAGGTTATAGCTGGGGTGTTAAGTCCCCTAAGTGGGGTTATCCAAATTATAACCTACTTATAACCTTACTTACTAAGTCCCATGAGCCTTCAAGAAAGGGAGTTTACAACTCGCAAGTGCATCTGCTCTGGGCGCCCACGCATCAGGGGGTGCCATACGCCGCCCCAAAGCCTCAGACGTCGGGGATGCTTTGGTCTGCATCTGTATATATATATATATATATATACACGTGTGAGTGTATATGTGTATGTGTGTATGTACTGACGTTGGCCTTCTTCAAACAGCTTTTGTGCTCGTCCTTGCTGCTGACTTTTCGCATCTCGTGGCCTCAAAGAATCTGTTGGGAGACCCCTGTCAGCAAACATCACTCTGGATCCATGTATGCATGTATGCCCATGTGTATGTATGTATGTGTGTATGTGTGTGTATATATGTATCTGTATATACCCATGTACACCTGCATGTTGGTGTTTTCTTCGGTCAGTACATACTGCTGCACTAAGCCGTCTGATGTGCTTTAGGCTAAAGACAGCTCTTGCAGAGGTTTTCCATGACGTAGCATTGGTTTAAGTAAGGGTCATACATGGAGTGGATGGTAGGCGCAAGAGATGCGAACGGCAATAGGAGGAGTTGTACCCACAACCAGAAGTAGGTGATTCACAGTCACAATAACCACATGATGAATACTGGCCAAAAGCGACATAGCCGTAGTAGCTTTCACGCTGACGGCAATTCCAGTCAACGTGGCAAGTATAGCGAAAGTGAAAACATGTGTAGTCCTTGCTAGAAGCATGTGGTATGCGTACGTACATACACACATACACTTTGACAAGGAAGGCGCATGCTGCCGGGACACGGGGGTACGGCCGGGGTGCCCGTCCTTTGGCTGCGACAGTGTGCGCGTCGGGTGGAGAGGTGTAAATTCAGGCTGGGTTTAGGGCTTACATAGGGCTTAGGGTTAAGGGTTAAGGGTTAAGGGTTTAAGGGTTTAAGGGTTTAATATGGGTGTAAGGGTTTAGGGTTAAGGGTTTAGGGTGTAAATTCAGAGAGGGCGAAGGGTTTGGGGATTCCGGCATAGCCTTCAAGACTTCAAGGTGGCGAAGGCTTAGACCAGAGTCCAGGGTTCGTTATTCGAAGGGTCCTTTGGCCTTCACAACCCCCAGTAGAATTACACAGCATCATATTCGCGTGAACAGTTCCCTACCTGTATGGCGTGATATTGTACAAACATGGAACAACATGCCCGCCCGAGCGCTTTGACAAGTCTGAACACCCACTGGACTCGTTCGTCTAAAACTGTTGATTTGCGTCGAGCAGGCACAAGGCCCCCCGATTCGGCAGTAGCAACGCCTCCAGAATGGGCTTCGGGTTTCCGAGCCCCCCAGACCTTTAGAACCCAAAGCCAAAGCCCTCAACCTGAAAAGCTAGAAGCCCTAAACTCTGAACCCGGAGCTCTAAAAGCTAGACCTCTGCATCTGACTTGCAAATTGACTCGTAAAGCGACGTGAAACCGAGGGATTCAGCCCAGAATGGTTTCTCCAATGTACTTTTACTGTAACTCGACAATTTCATGGCGTTGGGGACCTTGGGAAAAAGGTGCAGTCTGGCTGTCGGTCGCTGTCTCTATCCCTTTGTGTCTTCGTGCTTCATTGACGAATGGCATGGTTTATTGAAGTTTATTGCAACGGATTAGGGTAGTGTCAGAACAGCCTGATTTCCGGTAGGCCCGTGTAATGAACATTTAAAACTTTGGGAGCGAAATTGAATTGCAAAATTGCATCGTCACTACTGCAATGCCGAACCTCATTTAGATCTTTATCACGAACAAGCAGTCAGCTTGATTGGGTGTCACGAAAAAGTCATGCACCTGCCAAGTCCGTCCGTCTGAGATTTTGGCACAGCAGATGCCACCGCTGGCACTGTGCTGGCTGCTGAGGGCGCGCCAGTGGGCACCTCAGAACATGTTTCTGTGGACGGCAACCGAAACTACCCGTAAAGCGTTTGTGCCGCTGCTGCAGCTGCTGGTGCCCTTCTTCCTTCTTCCCCGCCTGCTCTTACTCCTGTGGCAGCTGCATATATCAAAAGTCGCAAAGCACGGTTGCATACTCTGGTAACTCTGGCAGTCAAACAAGTTCTTCATGCATGTACATGTGGGCATCCAGAGTTGCAGTGCTTTGAGTGTACTTTGGTTCTGGCAAGAAGTAACCTTTGGCATTTGCTAGGCTTCCACAACGGTCTGGCTGCGGCAGCGAAAGTTGAAGCTCGTGTGTCCCAGTTATTGCACCAAGCGGCTGACGTTGCTGCCATGAGCACTTGACAGTTTCAAGGAGTCACTCTGATAACATTGGAGCACTCGAAACCGCGCTATGCAAAACATCCGAGCAGCGAACTGTGGAGCTGAAGTACCCCCCCCCCCGTTCGCATGCTCTCTTCCAAGCCCCGGCCGAACTGAAGCCCGACTCCCGCACACTTTCATTCTAAAACCGAAACCCGAGCAGCCGAGAGGCCTTAATCCCCAAAATAACATAGGAAATTATTTTGGCTTCTATATTACACGAGGATGACCCTCAAGACTCTCCAGATTGGCTCAGGAGCTGCAGCAGGGGCCTGCGGCAGCAAGATGGTTGGCCTCAGTGCACTGGCATTTGTCAGCTGATGCGATGCACTACTGAGCTGCTGCTGCTACTGCTACTGGGGGCTGCTACTGCTACTACTGCTACAACCACTACCACTAGCACTAGCATTAGCACTCGCCAGCACCACCACCAACACCGCCACCACGTTGACGACGCCTACTACTAGTTCTAGTTCCAATTCTGGTTCGGGTTCTGGTTCTGGTGCTGCCGGTGCGAGTGCTAATGCTACTGCTGTTACTGCTGCCGCCGATGTCTTCACTTCCATCAGCACCACTCCAGCACGACCTTCGTCAGCATCACCTCGTGTTCACCTTCACCTGCACCTTCACTACCATCGCCCAAGTGCCAGTCCCAGGCCTACACAAAAACCAGCAAAGCGCCAGCAGCACAACCACCACAACCATCGAGACAACAAAGACCAGCAGCAGCACCACCAGTACTGCTGTTGGACCATCATCGGCACGATCAGAACCAATCTCTCAGCCGCTCCTCCAGATGTCTGAGCCCCCGCACGCCTCCACGGGGCCCCACCTCTCCAGACTCCACTCCTGACCCGTTCGCCAACAATTTGGAGTTAGAGTGTAGGGGCTTTAGGTTTTAGTGTTTAGGGAATTAGGGTTCAGGGTTTCGGAATTATTGTTGAGGGTTTCATGGCTCCATAAAGGGCTTTCCCGAGGGGTTGGTGGCTTCGGTTTAGGGTTAAGGTTCAGGATTTGAGACTTTAGCCTTCAGGGTTGGGGTTTGCGGCTTGTAGGGTTAGCAGGTCTCAAGATAGTTACACCTTCAAGGGCTTAGTCAGTGCTTAGGGTTCAGAGTTTCGGTCAAGCTTAAAGTTCAAGGTGACGTTCCTTGCTTGTGAGGAGCAAGGGTTTGCGGTTGACTGCCTGCATGGCCTGTAGGTTCTCTTATTATAGCAAACCCCAAACCCTTATTCTAAAGAAATAAGGCCCCTGTTTTGAGCCCGAAGAAAAAGCACAAGCAAGCTGGTACTGGGTACCGACTTTGGAGAATGACCCGCATAGAAACCCCCCCGAAAACCCTTATCTTAGGGTGAGCCCAGCCTAAATCCTTTAAAGGAACCCTGAGCCCTAGCATTGAATGCCCCCTTATAGAACCCTTAACTCTACATCTGAATCCGGGCCCTAAACCCTAAACCCCAAACCACTTAAAGGGACCCTGAACCCCAAACCGCTAAAAAACTGAAACCCTAATTGTGGGAGCTCCTCGTCCGTGTAGCCGCGGTTCGGCCTAGCATCATTCGCTGATGATGATGACGATCATTTCAGGAAGAACGTGCATACTTTAAGCAAGACTGAGCGCCCAGCATTACACGAGCAGAGGTCTCAATGTCTTATGCCTGCCTTCTAGGGTCCACTGCACTCTACCGCGGCTGAAAGAACGTCTGCTGACGAAGCATGCGATCTCTCAGAAGATGCGCAAGGCTGAGCAAGCCATGTGCGATTGCAAACGTATAGCTGACCAGCGTCAAGGCAGAGCATGACGATTATGTTGACGGCCGTGGTGATGGTGGTGATGGTGATGATGGTGGTGATGGTGGTGATGGTGGTGATGGTGGCGATGGTGGTGATGGTGGTGATGGTGGTGATGGTGGTGATGGTGGTGATGGTGGTGATGGTGGTGATGGTGGTGATGGTGGTGATGGTGGTGATGGTGGTGATGATGTGAGCGGTGTGCTGATGAGGATGCTGATGATGGTGTTGATGGTGATGATGATATCGGTGATAACGATGCTGCTGCTGATGATGATGTTGATGATGACGATGGTGATCATGACTGCGATGATGATTACGATGTTTGCAACATGTTGCAGGCTGCACGAGCACAGTCAGTTGATGTCAGTTCTCTTTGATGCGCATTGGCTTTCGGATGCAGACTTCAGCAGTTGTTCAGGAGGTTCAGTAGGTCATTCTTCAAAGCTGCGGTGTCGGACTTGGCGACAATCTGCAGCTGCTGATGCGCTTCTGCATAGGTTTGTCTGGGATTGTCGTCAGCCAGCCACAGCATCTTCAGCTGCCAGATAATTCCCTGTTTGGGGACGTGAGGGTCCATTACCAGCTTGACCATAAGCGACACCGCCCGTTGACGCTGAGGCTTGCTCAGCGAGCGCAATACCTTCTCAAGCGTTCGGATACACTTCTGAATCTCCACGAAGTTGGCAGGTATGTTGGACTCTACGAAGTCTTCAATCAGGTCTAACATGACCTCCGCAATGCGCTGCTGCACGAACGGGAGGGCATCAGAAGCGTAGTTGAAAACAAGGAGGCTGGCGGCTTTGGCAACAGATGCATCCGGACTTCGGTGGTGCCACAGCAAAGATTCGAGGCTCTTGCCGACAATGCGGCGAATGTGGACTTTGGCAAAATGAGCTCGTTCGTTGGACGCAAGGGCCATACACCACGACTGGCCTCAGAATGAATCAGTGTCAGGCTGATGTCACTACAACCGAGTGATGCAGAAGGTCATATCTTATGCCCAAAAGGATCCCTACATTCTGTAAACCGTGAGTGATGGCTGCGATATTCTGTGATGTACCCTCCCCCTTCCCCGAAGACTTTCATGAGCCCTACTTCGTGTGCTGGCCGTGCATCATGCTCAACAGGTCAGGAGGCACTCGTAGAGCTTCTGCTGCTTGGCACTGTTCTGAAAGGCGGACTCGTAGAGCTGAGCATCGCCTCGTAAAGCTGCCGCGAAGGATGCTGCCGGATTGTCGCAGAACATCTTCACCTTCTCTGCGAAAGCGGTAATAGCTTCTGGCCTGCACAGCAGTAGAGCACCGCTGACATGCACATTTGTGACGTGCCATGACTGCTGTCAATTGCTGTGCTGTCACAGGCAGACGGGACCCCTTGCGAGCCTGGCCATGCTGCCCATCTCGGCCACGTGCTGTATTAACACCTGCTGGCAGCACATAGACATCTTCGAGCCACTGCCTCCCCGAAACGAAGCAGGCCCAGACTGCAGGCCTCGGGGCTCCTGGTGCGTCGCGAAAGGAGGCGCCAGCTCAGCAACTCCTGCACCTTTGCTGTGTGCTGTGTAGAGTTCTTCAATTAAACAACAACTTGCAGCAGCTTGTCGACAGCCCTGCCGCGGGCCACTTCGCAACCAAGCCACACTCAGGTACGGCAACAAGTTTGGCCTGAAGCTTGCTCGGCATGTTCGGCAGACACGTTGCGATGGACGCTGGATCGGCTGAAATTCTTCGGTCAAAACCCTGACATAAGCCGAGTAGCAAATGCAGGTCGGAGGGGGTGTATTCCCCACCGCCAACTTCGGTGCCTGCCAGCTCCTCGGGTTGCTCAAGCATTCGTCTCCGGCAACCCCCAACTGTCAGGAAGTTGCTGATCGATGCCTTCAACCTCCACAAACAAAACAAACACAGGGCAACCACCCGAGTTGCCTGCGTGTCGATAACCACAGTTAGTAGAACAAATGGAGCCCCGGCCGCACGTGTTACTTCGTTTGAAGTCTGGCCCCTGTCATTCCGTCCTAGATGGCTCAAGCTTCATGAACTTCATGAACAACATGTGCATCTAGAAACACGCATTTGCGCAGTTCAACTTCATGTTGGTTATCATTTCGTGCATCATCTGTTTGTGATCGATTCATTCATCCCGGAACCTGGTCTAGGCAGGTGGGGGGCCAGCATCGAAAGCAGAATGATGGACAACTAACTCTCAACAACATACTAGGTTTGGATAATTGACAATACCGCTACGTCTCAATATGTCCTAAGGCTCTCCTTGCTTGTCGTAAAATTCCAGAATTGTTTCCTGGTCTCTCTCCGGCTCTTTCCACAAAGGCACAATATTCATGGTCTACATCATCATACATCGCCATTATATTCCTTCGCACCGGCTCATCTGCATATTCGGTGTCGCTGCTCATCATGTTCGTTGCTGCTCATCATGTTCATTATCATGTCTTTATCATGATGTTATCACTTGATTACCATAGTACTACTAACTGACACTACAGTACTTGGTTATCATTGGGTTAGAATAACACTGTCACCTGATTCTCCCTTGCTCATTTGAGTGTCACCCACTTTTTTTATCATGTCATGTCAGCCCACTGAGATTTTATCAGCTCATTACCATTCTGCTCACGGATCATTCTGCCCTGTTTTACCGCGTTCGTCATTATGCCCTGTCCGCTTTTGGAAAGGACCCCTGTATGTGACCGGCGTTTGGCGGCATAATGAGCAGAAACATGCAATGCGCAAAACCCAGGCAATACGCACGTTCAGGCTACAAAGCAGTGCTGGGAAAAGCGCAGAATAATGGTGCTGGCGCTGCAGAAAAAACCAGTTTTTCGAGCACTGCGTTGCGCAAACTTTGTCCGCAGCACTTGTAAACGCTTTACGCGGAGCACCGCAAGACTCGCGTACACAACGTCGAGAAGTAGATTTTGAGACTGGTCCGACATCACGAATCCACTGCAACGACCAAGTAGAGATGTTTTGGTGATATTGTTCGGGGTGTGCACGTAACAGTGTCGTCATCATCCCCCCCCCTCCCCTCTCCACCCCTCCCACCCCACTGCCCCCCTCGGAAATGGTACAGGACGTACAGGATGCACACCCATCGTTCTTGGCCTCGTTTTTGCGCTGTCTTTCATGATTTTTAGCCACAGTCTGTCCATCAAGCAATCTCGTAAGCTCGAGCATGGATAAGCCATCGATTGAAAGCTCTGCCAGTTTAAGGGGGCTAGCTTTTTCCTGACTTCCAACGCTGGCCTGGGTGCCTTGAAAACCTCAAAACCCACACGACTGCCTTCAAAGCCCGCCTCCGACGTGGGAGACTCATCGCACGAGTCGCCGTCGTCGGGAGCTTTGGTGCTCTCACCAAGACTTCTCCTTTTCTTGGGCGGCCTCAGCATCGCCGATGGGACGATTCGGCTGTCCAAGCTTGCAGACACGACATCGAGGAAGCTTGCTTTCAAGTTGTAACAACAAGTCAGTTCCGCTCGAAGGCATCCGGGATGTGACACAAATCACACAAGCAAGTGTTTTAACGTGCGAGTCCGTGAGCATTGGCTGATTCCGCAAGGTGTTTCCACCCTGTGCCCTGTTCGGACGCGGTGTTTTTCTGAGAGCCCTGCTTTTCGTCAGGAGTTGCAATCGTGTCACACGGAATCTCCCGGCACCTCGGCGGCAGAGTGCTGCAGACACCCCTACAACGCGATCCGGTCTTGCAAGCGAGGCGCGGATCGCCGTTCCAGAGCTGCAGCTGTCGCGGCGCAGCAGCAGTTGGAGGCGCGCCCTCCGTCGCTACTGGCTCCTGCCATCGCGCAGACAGTCTTGTGTGATGGTGGGGCAATGGCGGCTGGTGGTGGGCATCACCAGCTCCGTGGATTGCTGAGGACATGCATGTTGGACTAAGACGACGACGTCTCGGTGCGACAGGTAAATTGCGGGGAAATGCTTATCCTGGGAAGAGCATCCAAACGTTTGGATTCGATGGATAGCTTAGACCTGCTCGCCTGTCACATTCCGTGATACCTCACATCCTCACGAGTGCCTTTTGAAAAAGAAAGCTGTCCTCGCCATCGCTTTGGCCTGCCAGCGGTGGCTCCGCTTTGCAGCACCTGCGCTTGTGCTGCTGGCAGGCTGTTGGGGAATTGCAACTTGTCGATCCTTTTCCGGCAAGCTAGCAGTGAATTCTAGTGTACAGGTCCTCGTTTTCCAGCAAGCTAATTCCAAGTAGCAGGCCCCTGTTTTCCAACAAGCTAGTGGAGCATTCCAGTTCGCAGATTTGAAGCTAGTGGGGAATTGCAATCTGCAGGTTGCTGTTGTTCAGCAAGCTAGTGATTCGCAAGTTCCTCTCTACCAGCAAGCTATTGGGGAATCTCGGACCCGATTTGGCCCCTGACTCCTGACCCGGAGCAAAACATCAGCCGAGGAGCTGATCACCTGCGGTGCAGCTGCAGGCCCGATGCCTTAGTCCATGCAACCACCTAAAACGCTCAGCTCGGGTGCCTGGCTTGTGGGAATGGACATCCCGTTTTGCGGGGACAACATCGAGGAAGCTTGCATAATATGAAATCTGTGAGATGGTCGCAACAAGCCAGGTGCTCTCGAAGGCATCAGGATGTGACACTAATCACATGCAGGTGTTGCTAACATGTGAGGCAGCAGGACAAGCCGCCCGTTTCGCACTCGCAGGCTCACGAACGGAACGGCGCTGCACGTGGCACACCTACCATGAGCTAGCCACCCTAGTAGCAAGCTTTACAGCAGGCTGCCCGAACTGCAGAACGTGCTCGGAGGCAACCGTGCTAGCAGCAGTGCACTGGTTGCGCCTGAGTTTCAGCCGGAAAAGTATTGACCGCTTCCTTGTATTTGAAGCTTCTCTTGGCGCTGAGCCGCTGCGCAAACAGAGTCTTGGGTTGTGTGGTTAAAGCGCATGCTTCGTCGCGAGCTAGATTTACATTTCTTGTGAGATGTGCCTCAGGCAAATGGCAAGGCACTACGTGGGAAAGCATTCCAACGCAAAGCTTGAATTCTGCGAGCGGCGAAAGCGGCGCAAAGCCCAAACACAGTCTTTAGATTGGTGCTACAAACACACGAGAGCCACGTTGATTGTACGATGCGAGTGTTGCAGGCCCCTCGGTTTCTTTGGGCAAATGTGTCCTGAAAGTCACTTCAGCCCAGCTGCTCCTCTTCCAAGATCTCAATAGCAGACTGCAGGTCTTGCACCTGCTCCTCAAGAACGCTGATGGCAGTCTGGCTCAGGAAGCAGTTGTCGTCACGCTTCGTGGCTTCCCATTGCAACCTCGAAATCACTAGCATGTGACGGGCCGAGGATGGGCGGCGTAGACACGACATTTCCTGAACTTGACAAAGTCTCCGTTACTAGCCGAGGCGCTTCTTTTCGAGTTTCTGGATTTGCTTCTGCGCATGCTCCAGCCTGTGCTCCACTTGCTCCCTGCCCACATCACTGCACCTCACTGAATTGGTCAAGTGTAACTCGACGCATAGCAGTTTTGGACCTGGTGAAAGATTTCCGCAAAGGACTCTGCAACCAGCAGACTCAGGCTCGCAGAGCTTTCCCACAAGCTTGGAGATCAGGTCCTGGTCCGCATCGTGCCGCAAGCAGCTGTGATATAACCTGCGTAATCCATCAAGCGGAGATCGCGAAACCCTCCCTCCCTCGCTCGCTTGCTGATCTTCAGGCCCTGGCTGCTCTTGCAGACCGAGGATCAGGTTCTGCTGCCTAATCTGCCGACGTCTGTCTGGGGTCAGGGCTGCGGGTGTGCTTCAGGTTGACTCCGTACCCGGACACGCATGCTTGCAACTCGATCTGCAGCAGCTGCTAATGCAACGATTGAAAGCGGTTTCTACGTCTCGGTTCCCGGCAGACTCAGCTGGTGATTGTTCTGCACCAGCTGGTATTGGAGAGCATTCAGCCTCGAACGATTCATGTCAAGGCTTCAGCCTACTCCAAAGAGAAGTGGCCACAATGAAAGTCCATACGAGTACTGCCGAAACGCTGAACCCTTTTCCTGGACTTTGGCGACTAGCAACCTCCCCAAGGCTTGAACACGATTGCATAAACCAGCCAACATCCTCCTTGCTAAAAGCGGCTGGTTCCAGAGCAGGGCGATTTGGGCATCCTGCTGCAAGTACCACACGGGGCCCTGCCAGGACTGGCATTTGAGATCTGCAGCAGCCCGTGCACCAAAAGAAAGCCCGCGCCTCGCTGGACCCCTCTGGTCTATGCAACATGGCTCGATATGGCTCGGTTACACCAACAGAAGTCTCAATGTCTTATGCCTGCCTTCTAGGGTCCACTGCACTCTACCGCGGCTGAAAGAACGTGTGCTGACGAAGCATGCGATCTCTCAGAAGATGCGCAAGGCTGAGCAAGCCATGTGCGATTGCAAACGTATAGCTGAACCAGTGTCAAGGCAGAGCAAGACGATGCTGGTTATGGTCGTGGTGATGGTGGTGATGGTGGTGATGGTGATGATGGTGACGATGCTGGTGATGGTGGTGATGGTGGTGATGGTGGTGATGGTGGTGTCGAGGTCGGGGTAAATGTTGATGTTCGTGTGGATGCTGTTGTTGACGAGGATGATGATGATGATGTTGATGATCATGGCGATGATGATGGCGGCGATGATGACGATGAGGATGATGCTGATGGTTTTGATGATGTTGATGCCGATGATGATGACGATGATGATTGTGATGATGATGACGATGATGATTGTGATGATGATGATGACGATGATGATGACGGTGGTGATGGGGTGATGATGATGATTATATCGGTGATAATGATGATGGTGATGATGATGATGATGATGATGGTTATCATGATTGCGAGGGTGATTTCGATGTTTGCAACATGTTGCAGACTGCATGGGCACAGTCAGTTCTCTTTGATGCGCATCGGCTTTCGGATGAAGACTTCAGCAGCTGTACAGGAGAGACAGTAGGTCACCCTTCAAAGCTGCGGTCTCGATGCGCTTGTGCATAGGTTTGTCTGGAATTGCCGTCAGCCAGCCAAAGCATCTTCAGCTGCCAGATCACTGGCTCTTTGGGGACGTGAGGGTCCGTTACCAGCTTGAGCATAAGCGACACCGCCCGTTGACGCTGAGGCTTGCTCAGCGAGCGCAATACCTTCGCAAGTGTTCGGATACGATTCTGAATCTCCACCAAGTTGGCAGGTATGTTGGACTCTACTAAGTCTTCAATCAGGTCTAACATGACCTCCGCAATGGGCTGCTGCACGAACGGGAGGGCATCAGAAGCGTAGTTGAAAACAAGGAGGTCGGCGGCTTTGGCAACGGATGCATCCGCACTTCGGCAGTGGCACAGCAAAGATTCGAGGTTCTTGCCGACAATGCGGCGAATGTGGACTTCGGCAAAATGAGCTCGTTCGTTGGACGCAAGGGCCATACACCACGACTAGCCTCAGAATGAATCAGCGTCAGGCTGGTGTCACTACAACCGAGTGATGCAGAAAGTCAGATCTTATGCCCAAAAGGACCCCTACATTCTGTAAACCGCAATGGCTGTGATGTACCCTACCCCCACTCCCCCATCCGTCGAAGACTTTCATGAGCCCTACTTCGTGTGCTGGCCGTGCATCATGCTCAACGGGTCAGGAGGCACTCGTAGAGCTTCTGCTGCTTAGCATCGCCTCCAAAGGCTGACTCGTAGAGCTTCTATCACATACACATCTTCGAGCCACCCTCCGTAGCCACGGGCTCCTGCGATCATGCAGGCTGTGCTGGATGACGGTTGGACAGATCCGCCAATGTCTCGACTCGTTGTGTGGGTTTCATTGCAGAATAATTGCACGGTTATGATGTTGGTACAAGGCTCGAATGCTACAGCATAGCTCCAGCCGGTCACGAAGTCGTGGTAACGACCGCTTCCTACGTAGGTCTCGGCTCGGAGCTGTCAAAACACCATGCTCGCGCTCTTCGTCCTGCGCATCCGACCGCTGTTTGGGTGAAAGCTCAGCTCCACGCATGCCGGGAGGCCTGAGGAAAAGCTTTGGAAAGTCCGACACATTCCGGCACCCACGACACATCCAGGACAGGTTTAGGCACCCCACGCACCAGGGCCACAAGGGAGCCGCTCGATTTCGACGACTCTCTTTGGGCTGAGCAGTGCATTGATGTGCCTTGTCCGCCAAAGCATTTCTGAAGAGGAGTAGCAGCGCTTTTTTAGTCACTATAACAACAATGCTAACGACATTAATTTTTCGGAAGTCCAACTCACCTTCACGACGGCCAGTAGAATCGATGTTGCAATCAACAGGTGATTGCCACATAACGAACAGGAGCTGACATATTTCCGAATCACAACGAAAATAGAATCACCTTCATCGACCACCGCCAAAGATATGGGCATGGCCATGATCGCGAGTATCACCATCGACGTCAACACGCGCATCATCATCATCCTCAGATCTTGAAGTTGGGAATGCCGGGGCCTTCGTCTTCCTCGGTTTTCATGGCGAGTTCGAGTAGTGGCGTGGGCTTTCACAGTCTGGGACCCTTTTTTGTGTTTCCCGTGCCCTGGACCTTAAACCGGCAGCGGAGTACCTGAAGGTGATTTGCTGGTTCGTAGGCACGCAGCCTTCGTGGTCAAAGTGCGACGAGTGGTCAAGCCATGAAAATAGATGTCACCCCACAGTTTGTCCTGTGGCCCTAATGCTGTGATTCTGGGCACGATCGGACTACCGGCATCTACCAAGAGAATTTTCAGTGTCCTCAAGTTTCATCAAAACTGTGGCCATCCCCAATCATGGGCCAGCAGAGCATATGTACTCACAGGGTGGTGTCTACATGACGGAAGGAGCGGTCAAAGCCAGAGACCGAACCTGCGACAGGATCTCATACAGTCACACAGCAAGCGTGGCACGACCAAAGACCACATACCAGCGTTGGATGACACCTACCTTTGGCACCTTGTGGATAACTTCCTGGACCTGCTATGGAACAGACTGGCGGAAGTTGGCGAGAAGTGCATAAATCGCGAAAATGTGTGAACTCCAGAATCCCTACTCAAGCCATGCATCGTTCAGCGGCCGAAGAAAAGAAGCAGGCCTCCACTGGATCGGCCTCTTGAATCTGGACTTGAGGCACTTTCGGCAACCATCGGTCTCCCGTTTTCCTGCCTGAACGGTTTTTGCCTCGACTGCAACGGCTGCAACATGCCACCTCTGACCCTAGAAGTCACGGAGGTACGATGCAGAGGTAAGTATATGAGGAGCTCAGGCCAAGGCAGCTTCCTGGATCTCGATCTTCGGGACGGTTCTGACCTTGACCGTGCCACGAATGTACATCGAAGAAAGGCTTTGAATAGCAGGCAGCGCTCGAAGGGAATGACAATCAACTTCCGGCACCTCTACAATCTTCTCCACGTAGCGGACCTGGTGATTGTAGCATTTCTCATGCCTGCAACGCTGCGCTTCTAGGATTCTGTCCCAGCCTCTGGAACTTCTACCACTCGCTCCGAAACCTGGCACGTGAATGCAGGAAGATTCCTTTGGAGGAAGGGACCCCTTTCATTCGGACTAGCATTCTTCGCCCTGGCTGGGGTGCCTGGTACTCTATCTTTGGAACCTCTTTGATGATTTCATGCACCTGGCAGCGGCTCGCCAGGCCAGTTTCGAAAAAACCGTGAGCCTGGAGCTTCGGCACAGCTCTGACGACCTCCTGCACCTCCTGCGTGCAACCAGTCGGCACCTGACAATGAGATGTCTGAGCAGAGAGATCAGAAGGATCAACTTAGCTAAGTGCCGAGCTTCGACCAGTCGGTCCTCCTCAGTCTCTCGTGCATGGGAGGTCTGTGTGCACAGATACAGTAGGAAGTCTTGCAAGTTCATGCAATGAGCGGTCCTGCAAGTGCACCTGCGGAACCTCCAATCCTGGGCTAAACAGGGCGGCATCTTAGCTGCTTACAGATGTACCCTTCCTCTTACCGAGCATGGACTTTGCAAAACCCATGTCGGGGAGTCTGGGCTTGGCACGCACCTTGCTCGCATGATCATACCGGCCATATCTGACCGCCACCAGAACAAGTTACTGCTGTCGCCGCTACTCTACAGTTGAAGTTGCCGTCTCTTCAACAACCATTCGATACAGCCTCGAACTGCCATGCCCCAATCAATGGCTTAGAATCCTGTCATGCAGAAGAGTGTCCTTTCCCGGTACTCCGGTTGAATCTTTGGCACGTCATGGACGACCTGGAAGGCGGAGGCTCTGGAGCGAAGCCTTACTCCGGCAGAAGAGCAGAGACTTCGCCTCGTGCACCTCCAGCTTCGGCACATGTCGGACCACTTCTTGTACCGGCACCTGAACGGATTTCCAAACACAAGCCACGCGCACATACCCAACCTTTTCAATACCTCTAGTGCGCGATGGGACCTCGCAAAGCCTAACCCGCAATCTTCCAAGCTGTGCAAGTAAAACTAACAACGAGCCTGCAAGGTGGAAATTCTGCCACGGCCTGCGGCACTTCTACCACCCGTGCAACCTTGCGGGAAGGACAGCATTGCACTCTCGGCACATGCCACCATGTGCCACTCATGTACACGAAATGAAGCCATAAGCCAAGCCCCTAGCTGTTGCTCTACTTCAAGTGTTCCGAAGCACCAGGTGGCTAACTACGGTCACCATGAGCATCATCGGCACCACCGTGGCCGAGTGTTCACTACAGTACAGCGTAGATCCATCTGCCGTCATGCCGTTCCATCTGCTGGGCTGAAATATGGGCAGGGATTTACCCTGCTTTCGTGCTACATTGTGCTTTATTAGCATTTCACCAGGCTGAGCAGTGCATTGATGTGCCTTGTCCGCCAAAGCATTTCTGAAGAGGAGTAGCAGCGCTTGTTTAGTCACTATAACAACAATGCTAACGACATTAATTTTTCGGAAGTCCAACTCACCTTCATGACGGCCAGTAGAATCGATGTTGCAATCAACAGGTGATTGCCAAATAACGAACAGGAGCTGACATATTTCCGAAGCACAACGAAAATAGAATCACCTCCATCGACCACCGCCACAGATATGGGCATGGCCATGATCACGAGTATCACCATCGACGTCAACACGCGCATCATCATCATCCTGAGATCTTGAAGTTGGGAATGCCGGGGCCTTCGTCTTCCTCGGTTTTCATGGCGAGTTCGAGTAGTGGCGTGGGCTTTCACAGTCTGGGACCTTTTTTTGTGTTTCCCGTGCCCTGGACCTTAAACCGGCAGCGGAGTACCTGAAGGTGATTTGCTGGTTCGTAGGCACGCAGCCTTCGTGGTCAAAGTGCGACGAGTGGTCAAGCCATGAAAATAGATGTCACCCCACAGTTTGTCCTGTGGCCCTAATGCTGTGATTCTGGGCACGATCGGACTACCGACATTTACCAAGAGAATTTTCAGTGTCCTCAAGTTTCATTAACACGGTGGCCATTCGCAATTGTGAAAGCGGAGGATTCCACTCAACTCCCGGTCACAAAGCCCAAGGCAACCAATCGTAGATAGAGCAAAGCAAGCGGTGCAAAGCAAGGACAATCAGAGATTGATACCGTTAGTTTGACGCTCAGCGGAAAGCAACACTAGAACCCCCAGGCGCTAGCGGACCTTTTGCTGGACCTGACGCAGAGCCGTCGGTCTTGAGCAGTCAAGCTGCGTAAGTGAGACAAAGTTGGCATGAATCCTAACCAGGATGCAGACGCACATGTACACATGTCCATGACAAATCAAACCCCCCTCGACGCGAGCTCACGCGTGAGAAGAGCGGAGTTTAGGAAAGTCATGTACACTGATTGTGCACCGAGCCACACCTCTTCCGGTCAGCAACGCTTAAAGCAAATAAGAGCCATTAGATGTGGGTCGGCTTCTGCATCTGGATCGTACCTATGTATCACTTCTGTACATACGCAGCCTTGTTGTGATCGTCAGGCGCATAGAGAACTGCCGTGTAATCGTTGGCAGTCGGATGTTCCATCGGATCTAAGCGGGGATTACACATTAGACTCAACGCGCTCAGAGCATATACTCGGCAGCATCGAGTGTCCGTGAGAAGAGAGGGACACACGAGGAAAATACCATGGCTAGCCATTGTACCCCTGTGGGTCTTCTCAGCACGGCGCAGGCAAGGAGTGCTGAGGAAGTGGCGGAAATTGTATCATAGCCGGATTTCACCATCAGAATCCGCCTGACCCAGAGACGTGAGGGTCAAGTAGACTCAACCGGATCCATCAAGCAGTGACACAATGCGTCGCCACGTAGGTCGGACGGTCGTCACCTACGGTTGGTGGGGCTACGGGTACGGTCCTTGGTTGATCGTGAAGGACCACCCCCACGGCGGCGGCATGTCACGCGGCGGAGGCGGTGTCACTTCAGGAGCAACACCGCCAAGATGCTCCCGCCCAGGACGCTGAGTCGCCGGTTTGGGTTGGAGCACCCGGTCCAGCTCACTGTCATCCTCGTCCTCGTCCTCTGTTGGCACGGGAACATCGTGAGCCTCGGTTACCGTGACCTCTCTCCGCGTGGTGGGTTGCACGCGGCGTTGAGGAGTCTCGTCACGCTGCTTTCTTCGTCGAGCTGTGACGTCGAACAACTCTTCGGGCTCGGTCAACTCATCAGGCAGAGCCTCGAAGATGTCATCCCTCCTCTTCATCATGATGGGATCAGTACTCTTAGCATCGGGGAGCTGATCCTTCACACCATCGACAAGATCGAAGAAGACCTTCTCGATATCCTTATCTTCATCGAGAATTTGCTTCGTCTTGAACGCATGCTCGCGAACGAACTCCTTGAAGTCCTTACGCGCCTGATCGGGCGTTTCAGGAGCATCAAGATGTTCGGTGTTACCCTCATCGATAATCGCGAATCGGGCATCAGTGTGGCGCGGAATCTTCGTCCCAAAGGGTCCAGTTCACGCCAGTTGATGGCTTGGACGTCGGAGTTCTCATCCCCTTTTCCTTTTCCCTTGGGACCCCCAGTGGCCTCAGCGGCACCCTCGATCTCCTCTGCTTCATCGTCGGAGATATACCCAGGCTCCCCTTTGATCGGAATGCCATAGCATGTCGTAAGGGTAACCTTGGCAAGGAGCCCCGAGAGACTTTCACTGTCGACTCGCATGTATCGCGGATACTTTTGCGTATCAGTGATAGTGGCACGAAACTCATCCAAAGTGCCGAATTCGGTGGAGAGTCGGATGTGCTTCCTCATTGCCAGATTGGCGTTCTGCAACGGCAGGTGTGCCATTCGGATCTTCTCAACCATGTCCGCGTCAACACAATAGTCGACAGTCTCCCCTGTATAGAAGGGGGCGAGATATCCGCGCGTCAAGCAGAGACGGTCATCTGAAGAAATCCTCCACACCGCCTCGGGCTTCCTTGCCAGTAATCCCGGCGACAAGCCTCTCGATGGAGATATCCAGGCGAATGGCGCCCTGAATCGTTCCGCGCACACTCTTCTTGAACAACTCCACTTCTTTCGGCGATGTGTCGACCGCGACACACTTAATCGGCGGTACCCCGAAGAACGCGGTCTGTCGATGATCCTCAGAGAGAGATCTAGACACCGGGAAATTCCTCAGGTGCTTGATCGCAGGGTACTCGTGGAGCTTGAAGTCCGTGAGCTTGTTTCGCTCGATCATATCGTTGAGCCATGGTGCATGACGGCCGTAGTAAGCAACCTGAAAGGGGTTCACAGGATTGGCGTAGAACATCCCGTCAGGGTAGTGGATCGGCTTCGTGCACGTATGGCACATGTGGAGACCCACCGGGAACGCGGTTCCGCACATAGGGCAGTCGAAGCTTGCGAGTGGCCACGTTTCTTGTCTGTGGTTTCCTCGCTCTGGACCGGTGCCAAACTTCGGACCTCCAATGTATTTTAAGGCCGTGTTGAACACCAACGCTCCTGAGTCCATAAAGTATGCAATCGGCATACAAGCGAGAGGGATTGAGGGATACTGTCCTTAATCGCGTAGTAACCCCTCGGGTGAAAAGTGTCCTTAGGACACTGGGTTGAGACCCGCTGCGACCATGTGCAGATCAATCGCAAATACGATCATGCGATTTGATCCCATCCCTTCGGGAAGGATGGAATTCTGGGACGCAGTGTTCGAGAGCGTCTCGCGTCCCGGGTTCACTCGGATCTCCATGTATACCTCTTCCCACTCGTTGTTCTTCCCAGAGCCGGGAGCATACGGGAGAAGGGTGAGGAACAGCTGTCCCTCTGGATGAACGGCCCGTGCTGGGACTTGGTCAGCAGTCGGAAACGGTTGAAGTTATCGGGACCGAAACCGTACGCTGCACGAACCCCAACGAACTGAGGACTTCCATCGCTGTTGATCGTGGAGTAGAAGAACTCAAACATTCGATTGTTGTCCGTCCGTGCAACCTCCATGATGCATCGGAGAGTGAGCTCGGTCGGTTCATCGTTCTCATCCAGAACACGGGTCTGGAGAAGGAGCCGACCGCTGGTCTCGCCAGCGTTGGCTTTCATGTACTCCCTCTCGCGCTCCATGTAGTTAAACTGTAAAACCCTGAGCAGTCACGCTTTTACTCTTGAACCAAAGGCGCTGCGTCGGTCACATAGTATACAGCTATACAATACTATACCGTGGCCTGGGCTCACCAAAGGTGTGGGGCGTTCCTATGTACAGAATTCAACACCCTGCCTCGAAGTCCTTGTGCTGTACTTCGATCGGTCCGCGGTCGGGCATACCTCCGCCCGTGACTGCATAGGCTTTGCCGTTGCAAGTCCTTGGGTTAAACACTCCGTGCAACCCACCTTTTGACCGTCCCCCAATTAAGGAGGTGTGTCAGACCGTCCTTGTCCTGACGTTCGTACAGTAACAAGTACTTCGTCCTAGTGAAACATTCCACACAAACTTTCCTGCGTTAGCGCTCATCCTTCTTTTGCGCTTTCGCTGCTGTGTGTTCCGAGGTGAAACTTTTTCAGTCTTGCCTACACTCACTGCTCTGTCTCATACTCGTACACGATGTAGGTCTTACTGACTTCCGAACAACGTTCTTTTCTCCGTACTGTCCGGCGTACCGGGATCTACTGCCTGCTTCGGGCTTCCAAACAGATCCATCGGCATATCCGATCCTTGTCCGCGTTCTCCTGACGCTTCATACGTCTCATTGCACTGTCTGCAATACTCTTCATACGATTCCAACGCTTCTGGGGGTAGCATCTTGTTCCCCATCTCTTCCACGCTGATCATCTTTCCACGATACTCAATCATCTCCGGCTCCTTCTTCTTTTCCGGTTCTTCCTGAGTTTCCGGTGAAACAACTCCTTTCAAGGCTTCC